AGATACTGCATGGAACCTAATTCCTTTGGAATACTGCCTTCCAACTTATTGTATGAAAGGTCAAGGAAAATCATGGATCCATTGTGGTGAAATATTGGTATTGAAACACTGTACTTGTAATGTTTAGTACCGTTGCAGGGGTTCCTGGTTAAAATCCTGTCCAGGCGATCCTCTGTAATCCCATCAAATTCGAAAAAACTTGTACTTTGACAATATTCACTTCCATCATACCAAATAAACCTAAATTGCTTCACATGTAATATTGCAATATTGCCAAATTGTTTGAACAGAGCAGGGGGAATAGACCCATTCAAGAAATTGGTGTTCATATCCAACCATAACAAGCTGCTGCAATTCCCCAACTCTACAGGAATGCTCCCAGAGAGGGAGTTTTTTGCCAGCTCCAGAATAGTTAGATTAGACAAGAGCCCTAATGAAGCTGGTATAGCACCACTCAACAAATTATCCAACAAAGAAATGAATTTCAAATTAGTACAGTTGCTGAGACTTTCAGGGATTGACCCTGACAAGCCATTGAAAGCAAGAAGCAGTCTTTCCAAAGACTGCAAGTACCTCAACTCCAATGGGATTTCCCCCTCAAGCTCATTCAACCAAATCATCAAATCCTTGAGCTTCAACAAGGACCCGAGGCTAGATGGTAAAATCCCATTAACGTAATTAACGCTAAGATCAAGAGATTCCAATTGAGAACAGTTACTTAGACTCTCAGGTATTGGACCAGTAAACAGGTTCTTTTGAAGGTACAACACTTTCAAGCTATTCTTAGGGTCTTTACAAATCCCAGAGGGTATCAAACCAGAGATGTTATTAGAACTCAAATCTAAGGTCTCTAAGTTTACCATGCTAGACAATGACTCAGACAAGCCTCCAACGAAATTATTGAATGATAAAACCAGTATCTTCAAGCTAGTCAAATTTAGTAGGGTTTCAACAGGCAACTTACCAGAGAATCTATTGTTGGATAGATCTAGAAGTTCCAAGGTTGAGCAATCACCAAGGGTCTCAGGAACCGCACCTACTAATCCGTTGGAAGACAAGTCCAATTCCACAAGAGTTGTACATAAATCTCCTGGTATATTTCCTGACAAATAATTTGCAGATAGATCCAACTCTTCAAGCTTTGAGCAGCTGGAGAGGTTAGCTGGTATAGTTCCAAAGAGACTATTGTTACTGAAATTGATTGAAACAAGTTTGTTGAGCTGGCATATAATAGTTGAGGCCGGGAATGATCCTCGGATGTTCATTCCAGTGAGAGATATCCGTGTGACACTTGCATTGAAGTTGCATGAAATTCCAGGCCAGTCACATGGGGAGGAAGTGGAGTTCCACTGCTCAAGTGAAGATGGATTTCCCCAGTAGTGTTGTTTTAGGCGAAGTAAAATACCCCTTTCATCATCACCATGAGTGGTTAAAGATTGTGAATAATTTAGGGAGGAGAAAAGGAGGATGATGAAGAACATCAAGGCATGATGATGAGGATACAGCATTTTCAAATAATTATAAGCTAATTAATAAGACCAGATATGCTTCTAAGCTCTTAATGTAATATAATGGTGATGAGAATTAGGATCCTTAGCTTCGCTGAATTGGTCTTCCTATTCTATTATATTGCTTGCTGCTCATCACTCACTTCCTTTACTACTGAAAGAGCCTGACTTGGTCTATTGTTGTTGACTTGGACTTGAACTTGGAGTTAATCATATCTGAACTAAATTTTGGATTATCCTAAATATAATAGTATTTAGCAACTCCATCTGCCCAGTCCATATCTACACTAAAATTCACTTTGGGTACTTTTAATTTAGGTGTCAAATATTTAGACCGGCCTGGAACAATTCAAACTGAGTTTTAATTAAACATACATGAAAATCCGACTTTTTTCTTATTATGTTCTTGTATATTCAAAGGAGGCGGCCGTCCAAAGGTAATTAAAACTAAGATCAAGAGGTTCCAATTGGGAACAGTTACTTAAGACTCTCAGGTATTGGACCAGTGAACATGTTGTTCTGAAGGTACAACACTTTCAAGCTATTCTTAGGGTCTTTACAAATCCCAGAGGGTATCAAACCAGAGACATTATTAGAACTCAAGTCCAAGTCCACAAGAGTTGTACATAAATCTCCAATATGCCCGGGAAGCTCCCCCTGAAAATCATTTCCCCCTAGGTACAAATACTGGAAACTCGCTCCCACTAGGCAGCTTAGCAACACCACCCCTAAACTTATTGTTGGTGAGATTGAGGAAACTGAGGTTGGAGCATGAAGAAAGGGAGGCACCAATATTACCACTGAAGCTGTTTGATGATAAATCAAGATGTTGTAAACTAGTGCAGCCTTGAAATGAAGGAAATTTTTCAGAAAAATTGTTGGCAGAAAGGTCCAAATATGACAAAATTTTGAAACTCAATTCTGGAATATTTCCGCTGAGATTGGTGTTCTTCAACACAAGACTCTCCAAGTTTTCAAGATTGTGCAAGAAAGAAGAAACCAACCCAAAATCTATGCTGAGCATAGTGTTTGTGAGATTTATAGAATAGACCCTTGATCCTTTGCATGTAATGCCAGTTTTGAAATGGTGTTTGGTTAAAAATACTAGCTTTGAATGACAATAGCTGCTGCGAGTCCCTGAAATGCCCAGGGAGAGAAACTGGTGAACATGGAGCAGTAAAGAAGATGAGCAACACAAATGGAAGAAGAAAAACAGAGACTAATTGCAGATAGAAATAGAGAAAAAAACATTGTAGTAAAAACTAGTGTAATTAGGCTTCATCTTTTGTTTCTGCAAGTATATTATGGGTTTCTCTATCTTTCCATAGTCCTAGTTTTAGGCCAAGTGAAATAGCCCTTTCAGTGGTTGAAGAATGTGAATTTGGCAAGGAGAAATGGAGGAAGAAGAATATAAGGCATGGTGAAGAGGCTCAGCTGCAGCATTTTCAAACAATTAATTAAGCTAAAAAGACTTAAAACCAAAATGCATGGATGATCCATATATATAAAGATTGTGAGGAGCATTTTAGGATGACTTAATTGGTCTATTGCTTAATGTGACCCAAATTTCAATTTTAATACTGTTAATTTGGGTGTTAAATAAGTGGACCAGAATAGATAGAAATGAGTTAAGTACATGTTTGTTGTTTATTTTAATTATCTGTTTTCTTTTATTTATTTTTCTTCCTTTTTTTTTTTTCTTTAGAACTTGAGAGTTTGGCTTGATTTCTAACACGGAGTGACATTTGTTTGGGTTTGTTGTGTGAAATATGTTTTGGGTGAAATTCTATATAATTATTGGAAGGACTTAATTTATATATGGAGAGACCAATCAAGAAAAAGAAATTATTGGCATCTTTGAAGAATCTATAATATATCTTACATGGATGACTTATTTGAAGAAGAGCTCAAAGTACATGCATGTGGGGGCTAATTTAAAAATGGAGGTCACGACCTCCAAATAAGGTGGATCCTTATCTCCTCATCTAGGGTATTTATAGCTAAGTTTCTTTATATTTAGTATTTGTATGCTCATTTTGCTAGGTTCATCTCCTCATCTACATTCTCAACTTCTCTTCTAGTTGCAAATTTCAAGAATGCTATTGCCAAAGCTGTAGATTGATGTTGATATCCACATTCACTTTTCTTGTGCTGCTACACTCTGCAGTATAGTGCTATGCATGTGATTCTACTAGGTGTAAAACACATCAAAAAAAAAAAATTTAAGTGTTAATTGAAGATATGAAAAACATACTTGGAACAATGTATCCAAAGGTTCCCACACAAGCATGTTTTTGGATTTGCTTCAATTGCTGGCATATTTGTTAGTCCAAAGTCGTCTGCAATCTTAGTATTGAATTCAGACTCTAGGACTTTAAGAGTATGTTGCTAGAGTTGATATCTTGATGCAATCATGGGATATATAATTCATTGTACGAGCTTGAAGACGCAAGCAAGGGCTGTGAACAGGTCAACATGCTTCATTAATTTCTTTAATGTTTAAGTTGCCTGTTTCCTGTGTATGATTAAATTAAACAAACCATTGCAAAATATTTTGTAATGGGACAAGTCCATTCAAAAGTGGAAATATTATATTGTCTATTGGCTCTCTAGAGACAGATGATTGTTTTTGCTGTATTTTTGAAGAATATGTGAAATATCTTTCATGGACGGTCTACTTGATGGGGAATTCAAAGTGCATGCAAGGCCTAATTTGAAAACAGCGATCATTGCCTCCAGATACCGTGGGTCCTTGATCTCCTCATCTAGGGCATTTGCAGCCGAGTTCCCTTCTCTTTGGTGTTTGTGTGCCCATTGTGCCAGGTTTATATCCTCATTTCTAGTCACTGCTTCTCTTCCCGTTGTCAATTCCAAGAGAACTACGCCAAAGCTGTAGATGTCGCTCTTCGCGTCCACTTTTCTTGTACTGCTGTATTCTGCATTCCCATGATATATATGTGATTCTGCAAGTATAAAAAACAGTGGGAATTGAAATGATAAAGATATAAAAAAAAATGTACCCGGGGCAATGTAACCAAAGGTTCCCACAATAGCAGATGCTGTTTCTGGATCTCCTTCACTCTTCATCATCTTTGCCAGTCCAAAGTCTGCAATCTTCGCATTGAAGTCAGAGTCAACGAGTATGTTACTGGACTTGATATCTCTATGAATAATGGGTGGATTGCAACTGTGATGCATATAGCAAAGCCCTTGTGAAGCTCCAATGGCAATTCTTAGCCTCCTCTCCCACTGCAAGACTTGAGTAGTTAAGCCTCTCTTCTTTCCATGCAACCATTTATGAAGGCATTGTTTGTCCATGTATTCATACACAACAAGCTTTGTTGTCTTTCCTCTGATGCAACATAACAATTTCACTATGTTGTTGTGCCAAATTCCCCCGAGGATCTTAACCTCTGCTAGGAACTGTTTCTCCAGTAATCCCTGCCCTTGCTTTTGTTCATGCCTTATACTTTTAACAGCAACTTTTTGGCCTTACTTGGTGATCACTCCATATACTTTCCCTGACCCTCCATTTCCAATCAAATTTTCATCAATCAAACCACCCAAAATATCCCATTTATTGAATCCCAACCTTTGAAATGAAATCATACCCCATTCTTCTCCATCACTTTCTTTTCTGAGTTTTCTCCTTCCAACCCTAGGTCTGAACACCAGAATTCCTATCCCAATGATGACTACTGCTGCCGCTACAATCACGACACAAGTTACAATCGTCGCAAGGGTTAGTCTCGCATCCCACATATGGCTAACAGTTTCGCTTTTTTCTCCGGAAAATTTGTTGTATGATACATCAATATTCTGCAATCGCTGTAGTTCTCCAAAGCCTCTTGGAATACTTCCACTCAGATGATTATGAGAAATATCTATGTTACTCAGACTAAGTAAGTCAAATAATCTAGCAGGAATTTCACCAGTCAAATTGTTAGAGGCAAGTGAAAGATGAGAGAGTTGATGCAACCGCAAAAATGTAGCAGGTATTGGACCACTCAAAGAATTCATGGACAAATTTAAGTAGCTAAGGTTGTAAAAATTTCCTATATCATCTGGTATTGATCCATTCAAATGGTTACTTGAAAGATCAAGAAACTCCAAACTATAAGCCACCATGGGTGTCGGTATCTCACCGAACAACATGTTGCTTCGAAGATTTAAACTACGCAGGGTTTTCATGGAAAACAACTCACCTGCTATTTTTCCCGTCAAATCATTTATGGATATATCCAAGGTTTCAATCTTTGAGCAGCTGGAGAGGTTAGCTGGTATAGTTCCAAAGAGACTATTGGAACTGAAATTGATTGAAACAAGGTTGTTGAGCTGGCATATAATAGTTGAGGCCGGGAATGATCTTGGGATGTTCATTCCGGAGAGAGATATCCGTGTGACACTTCCATTGAAGTTGCATGAAATTCCAGGCCAGTCACATGGGGAGGAAGTGGAGTTCCACTGCTCAAATAGTGAAAATGGATACCCCCAGTGTTGTTTTAGGATAAGTAAAATAGCCCTTTCATCATCCCCATAAGTGGTTAAAGATTGTGAATAATTTGGAAAGGAGAAAAGGAGCATGAAGAAGATGAAGGCATGATGAATAGGGTGGTGCACCACCATTTTCAGCTAATAATAATAAGATGCTGAGGATCGAAGGAGGTAGCAATTGCTCTTCCAGCTGCTCTCATCTATTATATTATTGTATTGCTTAATGCTTAATGTGAACAACAAAGTTCCACGTTGTTGGGTGGACTTGGACTCATATTAATTAAATATGGTGAGTTGGATACGTTTCTTAAATTCCTAAAACATGAAAAATCAGGCTTTCTTCTTTTTATGTACGTTCTTGTATATCAAAGAAGTTTACTGTCCAAACTCCAACTTTGACTTGAGAGTTTTTGAACAAGTTAGTGGTAGATAGTTTCATTAAACTCACAATTAAAAACAATAATGTATTTTCACAATTTCTTTTTTGGGAGTTTAAAATTTTTAATTTTGGATTCTTCATTGGGGTTTTTTTTTTTTTAGTTTTGTATAGATGTAATATAATATTAGATGAATGAATATGGAAAAGTATTAGACAGTCGAGAGCAAAATTGAGCCTTAGGATTTGCTTCAACCAATCATACTCCCCTCCCTACTCCAACTCCGACTTTGGACAGCCACATTTGAATGATTTGATTATTCCATATTTGAAAATTTAAACAGAGTCTAATTTTTGGCTATGTTTTTTTTTTTTCCCCTTAAAATCAAAGAACCGAATTTATATTAAATCACCAAACAAACTGGAAATATAACTAGGCAATCAAGTTTGGTATTGTTTTATTCCGAATATGAAAAAACTTTGAACATAAAAGTTGTTGGACACTCTCTTAGCTTTCCATAGTCACTTGAATCACCTTTATTGGACTTCATATTAAGGAGATATGATCAAAACACTATCAACTTATTGCAAGACAAATTCCTCAGGACGTGGCCGAATTGAATGTTCTGATATTCTGGTATGAATGCATCTCGAATCTCTCAAAATGTTCAATATTAAAGTTGTTGAGGTCTTCCTTATCTTTCATTTGACACTTGAAGTATTATCTCATTATTTTGGACTCCCTACTACTACTGAATTGAAATTGTTCATAAATCTTAAAACTCACTACCATTTTTGTTCCCTTACTTTTGAACAATGGAATAAAAAATGATGAAGAAAAAAATAAAGGAAATCATTGTTTTTTTTTTTTTTTTTGAAAATAAAGAGCTAATTCATTAATCAAACAATTACAATAAAAATTGATAGAATGATAAAACATTCTTTACAGTACATAGAAACAACTTTCCTAGCAACGCTAAAAGAAACTTGAATCGCAAACTGTTTATTGAAGTTGAATTCATTGGAGGAACCTGAAGCTTCTTTGATGTTGTTAATGATCTGGCTATCCAACACTGACTCTATTTGAGAAGTCTTGCATACCACCTGAGTAACTATTGCAGCTCTTTTGTCCGTAGACAAATCTTCATTAATCTGAACTGCATATCATGGTTCAGATTAGGAGTGTGCATTCGGACGGTTCGGACGGATCGGGTGAGAGATAGGTGCATCCGATCGGATTTCGGTTATGTATTTTGACTACCCTATCCGTTTAAAAATGTTGACTTATCCGGTGGGTTATATCCTAGTTCGGTTTTGGTCGGGTCGGTCGGATATCCGAAATTATTTCGGTTATTAACAATTGTTGAAATCAAATCAAAAATTCATAAATTAAAATCAAAAGCAAAATAATAAGTAACTGAAAGTCTGAAATACTGAATAAATAAGTAAATAATTAATAGAATGATAGTGTAATAGACTAATACCAGTAATACTAAGTTACTAAGTTAGTAATTAGTATTACTAAGTAGTCTATTAACTAATATTAAGAGTCTTAACTCTTAAGTGGCTAAGAGTCTAACTGTCTAAGACTCCAAAAAAACTACAGAAGTACATACTAGCTTGTATACTACTTACTACATACAAATTTACATAACTGTTTAAACTTTAAACCGAAGCACCACAAAAACAAATTCACCCAAAATCAGCAACTCTTAGACTTTTAGAATTCAGACAATTAGAGTAGTTATTCTTCTTCCTGTGAATTGTGGCAAGTTAGTGTAGATAATTAGTACACAAGCAAGTAAACAAGTAAAGCAACTAAGCAAGCATTAGAAAATGAAAAACAGAGAAAGGATTATATAAATATTGGCTCAGTAAGCATTTTTACATATCATTTGGATTAAGGGCCTATTGCTTCAATATACCTTAAGTATAGAGCAACTGACCAACTTAATCCTTTCCTTTTCAGATTGAAGGTGGAAGCTTCATCATTGCCAAACTTGCCAACTTAAAGTGAACAGACAGAATAAAATAGTCCATACATTACCAAATGCCCAAGGTACTTGAGGCAGCAACTTAGTACAAGTTACCTGGCCTTCATACTTACAGAGTTACAGAGTTTGAGACTTACAGATGTCCAGTGGGCTCAAAAAATAGCAAGTGAGATTAGATTGCAATTTAGTTAAACAGTCAAATACTGTAAAAGATTGCAATAAAATCAAGTAATGTAAATAATAACATTACAGGAATTGTAGCAAGTGTAGAACCAAGAGACCTCCCACTTCTACCATCACCACTTAACTCTGCAAAATAAACAAGAAAAGTATTAACAATTTAAGCAATTTAAAATATAAGTATAAAGGATTATAATGTTCAAACTAAAAAGTCATACCTTTTTCAAACCTCTCCAACTCTTCCAGATTCTCCTCAATACATAAAGGAGTATTTTGCTTTCTAAGCCAATCTTGTGTACACACCAATGCTTCCACAATTTTTGGAGTTAAAGAACTCCTAAAAGGATCCAATACTCTTCCAGAAGTACTGAAGGCATATTCTGAGGCTATAGTGGAGATTGGAATGGCTAGGACATCCCTAGCAAGCTTAGACAGAACTAGAAACCTAGCAGAGTTGATCTTCCACCATCCAAGTATATCAAAAGATTCTTCCTCTTCAACTATTCCCTCACTCAAGTACATATCCAACTCAGTTTGTTTCTTACCCCCAGACTCCATTCTTTGATTTTTAATTTGGGACTTCAGAAAATGTTGTGGCTTCCCAACAGAAACAGAAGAGGCAGATGTAGGCTGTACAGACACAGACACAGAAGGGACAGGCACAGAAGGGACAGAAGAAGAGGCAGATGTAGAATAATCATCAAATAACTCAACAAGACCAGCAACTACTTTGTCATAGAATGTTTGACCCTTTTCCTCACCATACATATGATTAAACTGAGTAGGCATATACTCTAACTTGTCTCTAGGGTCTAGAATGTTTGCAAAAAATATCATTAGATTCATTTTTTCCACATCACCCCAATACTTCTCAAATTTTGCCTTCATATTTTTCCCCATCACACCAACTGGCCCACCAACTTCCACCATGCCTTTCAATAGGCAGTACAGATCAGAAATCTCAATAAAGAAAGTGTTTGAGGTGACATATAAAGAACCAGAAATTCTAATGGTCATGTCATAAAAACACTTCAGTAACTGAACCAAACTGCCAACAGATTCCCAGTCCATAAAATCAGGAATTGAATTACCCAAATCAGACTTGAAAGAGCAATCAGACTCCAAAGATTCAAACACTTTTTGGTAAGTTAATGCAGACTGCAACATTAAATAGGTAGAGTTCCATCTGGTTGGAACATCTAAACACAAAGAAGACCTTTGTTCAATACTCAACCAATCAGCCAAATCCCTGAACTTCTTGAGTCTAGCAGGAGAGTTTCTAACATATCTAACCACCTCCCTAACCTTCTTAACTGAACTATCACAATCCTTAAGACCATCTTGAACTACTAGGTTTAAGATATGGGCAATACATCTCATGTGAAGATACTTTGTCCTCACAGTAGATGATCCCCAAGACATCATTTTTTTCTTCAGAAAAACCATAGCAGTGTCATTTGATGATGCATTATCAACAGTCATAGAATACACATCTCTAAGCCCCCACTCAAGCAAACAATTTTCTAGGGCTTTGGCTAGATATTCACCTTTGTGAGAAGTAACAGGGACAAATGCAAGGATTTTCTTATGAAGCTTCCACTCATAATCAATGAAATGGGCAGTAACTACCATGTAGTTAATTCTTTGGATGGATGTCCAAGAATCTGTAGTGATACTAACCCTATGACTGCTTCCCCTTAAAAATTGCTTCAATTTCAGTCTCTCCTCATCATAGACAACTAGGATGTCCCTACTTATAGTTCACCTGGATGGAACTATAAACCTAGGGCAAGCAATAGCTATGAACCTCCTGAAACCTATTCCCTCCACGAACCTAAAGGGCAATTCATCTATGATTATCATTTCAACCAAGGCCCTCCTTATTGACTCTTGATTAAAAACCCAAGTCCCTATTTCTCCCACAGTAGGCTGACCATCTGTAAGTGATGTAACAGCCTGAAATGTTAACAGGGACTGCCTAGTTTCCTTGGAGTGAGGATTTTTCAAAAAGCTAAACATGTGATTTCTTAAGGAAGAAGTCCCATGTTTTTTTGTCTCACAGTGGTAAATTTTGGCACAATAAATGTATTTGTCTTTTACAACCACATTATTAGTGTCCTTTATTGCCTCAAAATGATCCCACACTGGTGATCTGGAAGCAACCTGTTTCCTCTTCTTGGCTGGAACAGCAGTAGGAGGTTGCTCATTCTGTTGATTCTCAACAGTTTGGGCTTCCACCCCTGAAGGTCCATCAATTGAGGAGCTGGGAGGTTGACTACCAGGAGTACCAGGCATACTGATATTATCCATCTAAAAATGGTGAACTATCAGTACACACAACAGGATTCAAAAGCATTCCATAATCAGACACATTTTGTGTCATCATTAAACAGGAATGCATAATTAATTAAAGGGCATTATTCAATACAAAATTACAAATATACAAATACAATTAAGGGAATACATCCATAAACTTACAAAGAAATCCAGATTCAGGGATATATTTAAAATATCCAGATGAATCAGAGACTGTTATAACATAAAAACAGCTCATTTCATCAACATCATTAACTGAATTTCTAAGGGGCTTCCACCAATTAAAGCCTTTAAGAGACATTATAAGTTTATAACACTCAAATTTATAAGACTCTTATAAGTTATAACAGTCAGTGCTTCCACCACAAGGGACAAGGGACAAGTGATATACACTCTGGAACTTCTCAACAGATTGACTTAATCACAGTCCACAATTCAAAGAATCATAGAAACCATAATCAAGTATCATAACATCACAAACAAGGGACAAGGGACAAGTGATATACAATCTGGAACTTCTCAACAGATTGACTTAATCACAGTCCACAATTCAGAGAATCATAGAAACCATAATCAAGTATCATAACATCACAAACAAGGGACAAGAGACAAGTGATATACAATCTGGAACTTCTCAACAGATTGACTTAATCACAGTCCACAATTCAGAGAATCATAAAAACCATAATCAAGTATCATAACATCACAAACAAGGGACAAGGGACAAGTGATATACAATCTGGAACTTCTCAACAGATTGACTTAATCATAGTCCACAATTCAAAGAATCATAGAAATCATAATCAGACACAGTCAGTGCTTCCACCAGAAATCCATAATGTCACACAACATATCACACATTTACAGATTCTGAAATCAAGTTTATAACACTAGGGTTTTCATTAAAAGTCAGTGCTTCCACCACATTATCACAGAGACACAAAATAGATCACAAATTCGCAATAAACTCAGAGCAATATGCCACTAACTTTAAGAAATAACTTTTACAAAACTAGGGTTTGCAGTAACAACTAACAAAGTCAGTGTTTCCACTACAATATCACAGAGACCACATAATACATCACAATAAATTTAAGAATAGGGTCAGCGAGTTACTTCTTTTCTCACAAATACCCTGGAGAACGAGGGCTTCAGGCCTTCAGTTTACTGGAAGTCGACGTCTCGACGACACCAGTAGTCCACCACAGCACCACATCCACGACCACCACAGCACCACTACACCAGTCAGGGCCTCAGGGCTTCCACCAGTGACAATGTTTCGTCGTCTATAACAGAACCAACCAGACAAGGAGAGTATAGACTACAAAGAAGGTAGTCTTTGTCTAGTACAGAAGAGACTAGAGAGAACTGAGGAGTGAGGACTAAAATCGCAAGGTGCGACTGCACAGAGAACCAGAGAGAACTGAGGAGTCTCAGAGAATGAGAGAAGAGAAGCTCTCGTCTGGAAACCCTAGCAAGAGAAGGGAATCAAGAGACTGACTGCGCAAGTGTGGAGTTAGGAGTAACAACATATATATATATATATATATATATATATATATATATATATATATATATATATATATATATATATATATATTAAGCCTAAACGACGTCGTATTGCTATCTACATACGCAACCCTAGCTTTTATCGGGTATTCGGACGGGTCGGGTGCATTTTTAAGCCACCCTACCCGAACTCCGTAAACCGACGTCGTTTTAGGCGTCGGTTCGGTTTTGCGACTCGGGTAGCGGTTCGGTTCGGTTGGTCTAGTTCGGTTCGCGGTTCGGTCGGTTTTTTCGGTTTCTTCGGATTCTGCTCAGCCCTAGTTCAGATCTTGTTCGTTGCTCAGAATGAGATAAACATACGCCTTGATCAATTAAATCGTTTCACAATGAAAAAAGAACTCGTCAAAGAAATGAGAGGGAATAACTCGCCAAAGAAGCGAGTGGAAATAACTTGTCAAAATAACTAATACAGACTCACATATGTGTGTGTATTATATATTTTTATATATTTATTTATTTATTATTAATTAATTAATTAATTTAATGGCAATATAATTTGCTACCAAACAAAAAAAAAAAAATCTTCTACTTAATTACAAAGTATTTAAAATTCAATTATAATTCGTGTTCTTGTTTATAATTTGTCTCTCAAAAATTAGTCCTGACTATGAGAATGACTTGATTGGTGTATTGCTCGATTTGAACCATAAATTACGTTGGGTGGACTTGGACTTGGAGTCTACATACTCTGCTAACGGATTTCTAAACCAAAATTCAATTTAAATACTTTTCTTTTAGTGTAACATATTTGGACCACAATACATAGAATTGAGTTAATGACCCGGCGTTTACTTCAATCAATCGTTATGCTGTGGAACGCAAGGTAGACATTGTTAATGTTCATAATTACTGAATTATATGTTCATAATTATAAAACTATATATTCATATTTTTGAATTTCATATTCATAATTATTCAACTCTATATTCACAATTACTGAACTATATGTTCATAATTATAAAATTATATATTAATAATTTTTTAACTTCATATTCAGAATTATTGAATCTCTATAGTCATAATTGCAAAATTATATGTTCATAATTATGTTCATAATTTTTAAACTTATATTCATAATTATGAACAGTTTTAGAACTGTGTCCACTTTCAAAGCCTGCAATCTTAGTATTGAATTCAGACTTTGGGACTTTAAGACTATGTTGCTAGAGTTGATATCTTGATGCAATCATGTTGTATATAATTGATCGTACGAGCTTGAAGACGCAAGCGAGGCATGTGAACAGATAAACATGCTTCATTAATTGCTCCAATGGTTAAGTTGCCTGTTTCAATTCCTGTGAATATTATTAATTTTGGAACTCCAATGCAATTACTATTGCCCTTCAGAAAGTTTATTTGTCACTTTAACATCTAAGAAAATCAAGGAAACAAAGTGGAGTTGCATTATGAATTATGAAGGATCCAGCATAATTGCACTGTGAGTGCAATAGTCAAATTAAACTAAACAAACCTTGCAAAATATTTTGCATTCAAAAGTAAAGTGGAAATATTATATTGTCTATTGGCTCTCTAGAGACATATGAGTGTTTTCACTGTATCTTTGAAGAATCTGTGAAATATCTTTCATGAACGGCCTGCTTGATGGAGAATTCAAAGTGCATGCAAGGCCTAATTTGAAAACAGCGATCATTGCCTCCAGATAACGTGGGTCCTTGATCTCCTCATCTAGGGCATCTGCAGCTGAGTTCCCTTCTGTTTGGTGTTTGTGTGCCCATTGCGCCAGGTTCATATCCTCATTTCCAGTCACTGCTTCTCTTCCCGTTGTCAATTCCAAGAGAACTACACCAAAGCTGTAGATGTCGCTCTTCACATCCACTTTTCCTGTACTGCCATATTCTGCATTCTCATGATATATGTGATTATGCAAGTATAAAAATTAGTGGGAATTGAAATGATGAAGATATAAAAAAAAATGTACCGGGGGCAATGTAACCAAAGGTTCCCACAATAGCAGATGCTGTTTCTGGATCTCCTTCGCTCGCCATCATCTTTGCCAGTCCAAAGTCTGCAATCTTGGCATTGAAGTTAGAATCGACGAGTATGTTACTGGACTTGATATCTCTATGAATAATGGGTGGATTGCAACTGTGATGCATATAGCAAAGCCCTTGTGAAGCTCCAATGGCAATTTTTAGCCTCCTCTCCCACTGCAAGACTTGAGTAGTTAAGCCTCTTTTCTTTCCATGCAACCATTTGTGAACACATTGTCTGTCCATGTATTCATACACAAGAAGCTTTGTAGTCTTTCCTCTGATGCAGCATAACAATTTCACTATGTTGTTGTGCCAAATTCCCCCAAGAATCTTAACCTCTACTAGGAACTGTTTCTCCATTAATTCCTGCCTTTGCTTTTGTCCATGCAATATACTTTTAACAGCAACTCTCTGGCCTTTCTTGGTGATCACTCCATATACTTTTCCTGACCCTCCATTTCCAATCAAATTTTCATCACTCAAACCACCCAAAATTTCCCATTTATTAAATTCCAACCTTTGAAACGGAACCATAATCCATTCTTCTCCACTGTATTCCCTTCTCCTTTCCCCTGAGTGTCTAAACACAAGTAACAGAATTACTAACCCAATAAGTACCCCTGCAATCGCACTGCAAGTAGTTATAATGATGTATTTTCTCTTTTTCTTTGATTTACTACTAGGCTTGGAACTACAGTCTATGTATTCAGAACACCAGTGTGTAGAGCATGCTGGCAATCCATTTTCAATTGCATCTGAACATAAATTGGCTTCATCAAAGCAGCTATCAGAAAATCTTTCCTGCGCTTGCGCATAAGGGAATCTCCCAGAAAAGTTGTTCCAACGAATATCAAGGATCATTGTAGCAGGAAGATGGCTAGCAGTTTCCCAGATGTCTCCTGATAAGTGGTTATGAGATACATTCATGTAGCCCAATTGTAGCAATTCTCGAAAATCTCTTGAAATAGTTCCACTTAGATGATTATGAGAAAGATCAATGTGATTCAAACTAAATAATTCCAGTTTTTCAGGTATTTCACCGGTCAAATTGTTACAAGAAAGTGAAAGATGAGAGAGTTGATGCAATTGGGACAATTTATCAGGTATTGGACCAGTAAAAGAATTCCTGGACAAATCTAAGTGGAGAAGGTTGTATAAATTTCCTATACCTTCTAGTATTGATCCAGTTAAAGAATTCCTGGACAAATCTAAGTGGAGAAGGTTGTATAAATTTTCTATACCTTCTAGTATTGATCCAGTTAAAGAATTCGAAGACAAATCTAAATATCTAAGGTTGTTAAGGTTTGCTATATCATCTGGTATTGTTCCACTCAAATGGTTACTTGAAAGATCAAGATACTCCAAACTGTAAGCCGCTATGGGTGTCGGTATCTCACCAGACAACATGTTCCATTGAATACGTAAAGTACGCAGGGTTTTCATGGAAAATAACTCACCTGATATTTTCCCTGTGAAATTATTTGCAGATAGATCCAACTCTTCAAGCTTTGAGCAACTGGAGATGCCAACTGGTATAGTTCCCCAGAGACTATTGTAACGGAAATCGATTGAAGAAAGGTTGTTGAGCTGGCATATAATTTTTGAGGGGAATGACCCTTCGAGTCCACTATCGTAGAGAGATATCCGAGTGACACTTCCATTGAAGTTGCATGAAATTCCAGGCCAGTCACATGGGGAGGAAGTGGAGTTCCACTGCTCAAATAGTGAAAATGGATACCCCCAGTGTTGTTTTAGGATAAGTAAAATAGCCCTTTCATCATCCCCATGAGTGGTTAAAGATTGTGAATAATTTGGGAAGGAGAAAAGGAGAGTTTTTGAACAAGTTAGTGGTAGATAGTTTCATTAAACTGACAATTAAAAACAATAATGTGTTTTCACAATTTCTTTTTTGGGAGTTTAAAAATTTTTAATTTTGGATTCTTCATTGGGGTTTTTATTTATTTATTTATTTATTTATTTATTTATTTATTAGTTTTGTATAGATGTAATATAATATTAGATGAATGAATATGGAGAAATGTTAGACCATTGAAAGCAAAATTGAGCCTTAGGATTTGCTTCAACCAATCATACTCTCCTCCCTACTTCAACTCCGACTTTGGACAGCTGCACATTTGAATGATTTGATTATTCCATATTGAAAATTTAAACAGGGTCTAATTTTTGGCTATGTTTTTTTTTTTTTTTTCCTTAAAACCAAAGAACGGAATTTATATTACATCACCAAACAAACTGGAAATACAACTAGGCAATCAAGTTTGGTATTGTTTTGTTCCGAATATGAAAAAACTTTGAATATAAAAGTTGTATGACACTCTCTTAGCTTTCCATAGTCACTGGAATCACCTTGATTGGACTTTATATTAAGGAGATATGATCAAAACACTATCAACTTGTTGCAAGACAAATTCCTCAGGATGTGTCCGAATTGAATGTTCTGATATTGTGGTATGAATGCATTTGGAATCTCTCAAAATGTTCAATATTAAAGTTGTTGAGGACTTCCTTATCTTTCCTGACACTTGAATCATCTCATTTGGACTCCCTATGAGGACTACTCTTCTTATACTACTATTGAATTGAAATCGTTCATAAATCTTAAAACTCACTACCATTTTTGTTCCCTTACTTTTGAACAATGGAATAAAAAATGATGAAGAAAAATATAAAAGAAATCATTATTTTTTATTTTTTATTTTTAAAAATAAAGAGCTAATTCATTAATCATAAGTTGAAACAGTTACAATAAAAATCGATAGAATGATAAAACATTCTTTACAGTCAAACATAGAAACAACTTTCCTATCAATGCTAAAAAAACTTGAATCGCAAACTGTGTTACAAAATTGAAGCTGAATTCAATGGAGGAACCTGAAGCTTCTTTGATGTTGTTAATGATCTGGCTATCCAACACTGACTCTATTTGAGAAGTCTTGCATACCACCTGAGTAACTATTGCAGCTCTTCTGTCCGTAGACAATATTTTCATTAATCTGAACTGCATATAATGGTTCAGATCTTGTTCGTTGCTCAGGATGAGATAAACATACGCCTTGATAAATTAAATCGTTTCACATTAATGGAAAAAGAACTTGCCAAAGAAATGAAAGAAAATAAGTCGCCAAAGAAGCGAGAGGAAATAACTTGTCAAAATAACTAATACACACACTCACATATGTGCGTGTATTATATATTTTTTTTATATTTATTTATTTATTATTAATTAATTAATTAATTTGATGGCAATATAATTTGCTACCAAAAAAAAAAAAAAAAAATCTTCTACTTAATTACAAAGTATTTAAAATTCAATTATAATTCGTGTTCTTGTTTATAATTTGTCCCTCAAAAATTAGTCCTGACTATGAGAATGACTTGATTGGTGTATTGCTCGATTTGAACCATAAATTACGTTGGGTGGACTTGGACTTGGAGTCTACATACTCTGCTAACGGATTTCTAAACCAAAATTCAATTTAAATACTTTTCTTTTAGTGTAACATATTTGGACCAGAATACCTAGAATTGAGTTAATGACCCGGCGTTTACTTCAATCAATCGTTATGCTGTGAAACCGTTGCAAAGTAGACAATGTTCTATGTTCATAATTATTGAATTATATGTTCATAATTATAAAGCTATATATTCATATTTTTGAATTTCATATTCATAATTATTCAACTCTATATTCATAATTACTGAACTATATGTTCATAATTATAAAGCTATATATTCATAATTTTTGAACTTCATATTCACAATTATTGAATCTCTATAGTCATAATTGCAGAACTATATGTTCATAATTATGTTCACAATTCTATGTTCATAAGTATAGAACTATATGTTCATAATTTTTTAACTTATATTCATAATTATGAACAGTTTTAGAACTGTGTCCACCTTGCAAAGTCTGCAATCTTAGTATTGAATTCAAACTCTGGGACTTTAAGAGTATGTTGCTAGAGTTGATATCTTGATGCAATCATGGTGTATATAATTGATCGTACAAGCTTGAAGACGCAAGCGAGGCCTGTGAACTGGTAAACATACTTCATTAATTCCTCCAAATAGTTAAGTTGCAGAGTGAATTCCATTTTTGGTCCTACTGTTATAGGGGCGTTTCTAATTTCAGTCCACTTTAATTTTTTTTGTCACTTTACAACCACTGTTATTGAATGTGTTTCACTTTTAGTCTACCGTTAATATTTTCGTCAAGAGCCGTATAATCAAAGAGTATTTTAGTCTTTTTATGTTTGTCTCTTCTCTTTTAATCCAGGCACTTCGTCCTCCTCCTCCGATATTCGAAGATGGCTTTTCGAACAACGAGAATGGGAAGCCAAACATACATTGTTTTGTTCGTTCCAACATGGGCCGGCGAGGTTTCTTAGGTTTTAGGTTTAATGTTCTCATTTCTTTAGTCAAACATAGTCTTGGATGAGAAGAAATGTTAAAATACCCCTAGATTACACGAGCTCTTGATGGAAATACTAACGGTGGGACTAAAAGTGGAACATATTCAATAATAGTGGTTATAAAGTGGCAAAAAAAAAATTAAAGTGGACTAAAATTGGAAACGCCCTATAACAGTAGGACCAAAAATGGAATTCACTCTTAAGTTGCATGCATGTTTCAATTCCTGTGAATATTATTAATTTTGGAATTCCAATAATGCAATTACTATTGAGCTCCAGAAAGTTTATTTATCACTTTAACATCTAAGAAAATCAAGGAAACAAAGTGGAGTTGCATTATGAATTATAAAGGATCCAGCATAACTGCACTGTGAGTGCAATAGTGAAATTAAACTAAACAAACCATTGCAAAATATTTTGCATTCAAAAGTAAAGTGGAAATATTATATTGTCTATTGGTTCTCTAAAGACAGATGAATGTTTTCGCTGTATCTTTGAAGAATCAGTGAAATATCTTTCATGGACGGCCTGCTTGATGGGGAATTCAAAGTGCATGCAAGGCCTAATTTGAAAACAGCGATCATTGCCTCCAGATAACGTGGGTCCTTGATCTCCTCATCTAGGGCATCTGCAGCTGAGTTCCCTTCTGTTTGGTTTTGTGTGCCCATTGTGCCAGGTTCATATCCTCATTTCCAGTCACTGCTTCTCTTCCCGTTGTCAATTCCAAGAGAACTACGCCAAAGCTATAGATGTCGCTCTTTCTGGATCTCCTTCACTCGCTAGCATCTTTGCTAGTCCAAAGTCTGCAATCTTGGCGTTGAAGTCGGAGTCCATGAGTATGTTACTGGACTTGATATCTCGATGAACAATGGGTGGATTGCAATTGTGATGCATATAGCAGAGGCCTTGTGCAGTTCATGAGTATGTTACTGTTCAAGACTTGTGTAGTTAAGCCTTTCTTCTTTCCATGCAACCATTTATGAAGACATTGTTTGTCCATGTATTCGTACACAATTAGCTTTGTTGTCTTTCCTCTGATGCAGCATAACAATTTCACTATGTTGTTGTGCCTAATTCCCCCAAGGATCTTAACCTCTGCTGTAAACTGCTTCTCCAAAATGTGGCCTTCGTTTCGTTCATGCCTTATACTTTTAACATCAACTTTTTTGCCTTTCTTTGTGATCACTCTATATACTTTTCCTGACCCTCCATTTCCAACCAAATTTTGATCTGTCAAACCACCCAAAATATCCCATTTATTGAATCCCAATCTTTGAAATGAAACCATACTCCATTCTTCTCCATCATTTTCCATTCTCCCTTTCCCTGCAAGTCTGATCACGAGTAACTGAGTTACTAACCAAATAAGTACCCCTGCAATTACACCACAACCTATAATGATGTAATGCTTTTCCTTTGATCTGCTAGGCATAGAAATTGAACTTAAACTTGGACTTGGTTCTAGGCCATCCTGAGGATGAGTGCAATAATCAGAAAGGCCAGAATTATTCTTAAACGATTCTCCATTAAGTGTTGCAAATTGAGGTGAACAAGGTATCATTCCAGAAAGTTGGTTATTAGACAGATCAATATGCGAAATAAATGGGAGGTTGGTCAAAGTTTGTGGAATTGAGCCTTTGAGTCGGTTGTGTGATAGATAAAGGTGTTCAACACTCCACAAGCCTCCAAGTTCTTGAGGTAATGGACCAGAGAGATGATTATGCCCTAAATTCAGAAAAAAGAGATACTGCATGGAACCTAATTCCTTTGGAATACTGCCTTCCAACTTATTGTATGAAAGGTCAAGGGAAATCATGGATCCGTAGTTGTCAAATATTAGTTTTGAAACTCTAGTAACTCTAGTATAATTGCAGGGGTTCCTGTTTAAAATCCTGTCCAGACGATCCTGTGTAATCCCTCCAAATTTGACTAAACTTCTTGTACTTTGGCACTGTTCACTTCCATAATACCAAATAAACCCAAATTGATTCACAGTAAGTAATGGCGTTGCAATATTGCCAGATTGTAAGAGCAGAGCAGGTGGGATAGTACCGTCAAGAAATTGGTGTTGAGATCCAACCATAACAAGCTGTGGCAATTTCCCAACTCAGCAGGTATGTTCCCAGAGATGGTGTTGTTTCCCAAATTCAGAATGGATAGACTAGACAACTGCCCTAATGAAGCTGGTATAGCACCACTCAACAAATTATTCGACAAAGAAATCCATTTCAAATTAGTACAGTTGCTGAGAGTTTCAGGGATTGACCCTGACAAGTCATTGAAATCAAGAATCAAAATTTCCAAAGACTGCAAGTACCTCAACTCCAATGGGATTTCCCCCTCAAGCTCATTCAACCAAATAATCAAATCCTTGAGCTTCAACAAGGACCCCAGGCTAGATGGTATCTTCCCTTTAAGGTAATTAAAGCTAAGATCAAGAGATTCCAATTGGGAACAGTTACTTAGACTCTCAGGTATTGGACCAGTGAACATGTTGTTCTGAAGGTACAACACTTTCAAGCTATTCTTAGGGTCTTTACAAATCCCAGAGGGTATCAAACCAGAGATGTTATTAGAACTCAAATCTAAGGTCTCTAAGTTTACCAAGCTTGAAAATGACTCAGACAAGCCACCAACAAAATAATTGAATGATAAAACCAATGTCTTCAAGTTAGTCAAATTTAGTAGGGTTTCAACAGTCAACTCACCAGAAAATTTATTGTTGGAGAGATCTAGAAGTTCCAAGGCTGAGCAATCACCAAGGGTCTCAGGGTCCATACCTGAAAAGTTGTTGGAAGACAAGTCCAATGCCACAAGAGTTGTACATAAATCTCCAATATGCCCTGGAAGCTCCCCCTGAAAATCATTTCCCCCTAGGTACAAATACTGCAAACTCCCACTAGGCAGCTTAGCAACACCACCCCTAAACTTATTGTTGGCGAGATTGAGGAAACTGAGGTTGGAGCATGAAGAAAGGAAGGCACCAATATTACCACTGAAGCTGTTTGATGATAAATCAAGATGTTGTAAACTAGAGCAGTCTTGAAATGAAGGAAAATTTTCAGAAAAATTGTTGGCAGAAAGGTCCAAATATGACAAATTCATAAAACTCAATTTGGGAATTTTTCCTGATAATTTATTACCCTTCAGAGACAACAACTCAAGATCAGGAAAATCACTGGGGGACAGCATAACAAATATGTTGTGCCCTGAAATATTGTTGTAAGAAAGGTCAAGACTTCGAAGTCTAATGGTTGCTCCACCCGCGGCAACCTGCCTCCCAGGAGGGTCCATGGAGTTGCTGGAAAGGTTGAGGGCCTTGAGATTATAGCACCGACGACCAAGGCTTTAGATATCAGAAACAGGCCCTGAGATGTAGTTTTCAGCTAGATCTGTGTACCTCAATGAAGCAGCGCATTGGGATTTTGAGGCAGAAGCCACTGAGATTGGCGTTCTTCAACACAAGGCTCTCCAGGTTTTCAAGACTGAGCAAGTAAGAAGAAACCATGCCAAAATCTACGCTGAGCATAGTGTCTGTGAGATTTATAGAAGAGACCCTTGATCCTTTGCATGTAATACCAGTGAAGCTACAGGGGCTTGTGGATAATACCCAGTTCTGAAATGGTATTTGGTTAGAAATGGTAGCTTGGAAGGATAATAGCAACTGCGAGTCCCTGTAAAGCCCATTGAGAGGAGTAGGTGAAGATGGATGAAGAAAGAAGATGAGCAACATAAATGGAAGAAGAAAAACAGAGATTGAGTGCTGGTGGAAATAGAGAAAGAAAGCATTGTAGGGAAAACTAGTATACTTTGGCTTCATCTTTGGTTTCTGCAAGTATATTATATATGGGTTTCTCAATCTTTTCATGGTCCTAGTTTTAGGCCAAGTGAAATAGCCCTTTCAGTGGTTGAAGAATGTGAATTTGGCAAGGAGAAATGTAGGAAGAAGAATACAAGGCATGATGAAGAGGCTAAACTGCAGCATTTTCAAACAATTAATTAAGCTAAAAAGACTTAAAACCAAAATGCATGGATGATCCATATATATAAAGATTGTGAGGAGCATTCTAGGATGACTTAATTGGTCTATTGCTTAATGTGACCCAAAAATTAAGTTGGGTGGACTTGGACTTGGAGTCAATAGTAATATCTGAATTATCAACTCAGCTACCTTATTTCTAAACCAAATTACAATTTTAATACTTTTAATTTGGGTGTAAAATATGTGGACCAGAATAGATAGAAATGAGTTAAGTACGTGCACGTTGTTTATTTTAATTATCTGTTTTCTTTTATTTATTTTTCTTCCTCTATTTTTTGTTCTTTAATTTAGAGAATACATCTATCAATTCCTTTTTTTTTTTTTTTTTTTTTTTTTTTTTTTTTTTTTTTTTTGTCTTTCTTTAGAACTTGAGAGTTTGGGTTGATTTCTTACATGGAGTGACATTTGTTTGGGTTTGTTGTGTGAAATATGTTTATGTTGAAATTCTATATAATTATTGGAAGGACTTAATTTATATATGGAGAGACCAATCAAGAAAAGGAAATGATGATGATAATAGATGATTTGATTCACTCAAAGTTTTACATTTACATTTGTAATAGTTAATGGCTCTGTTTGGCAGAGCTTATTTAGGAGCTTATAACTTATTTTAAGCTACTAATAAGCTATAAGCTCTGTTTGGTAATGCTCCCAAAATAAGCTCCTAGCTTAAAATAAGAGCTTCTTTTGGAACGCTATCATAGGTAGCGTTTCAAAATAAGCTCCTAGCTTCCTAACTTTTTTTTTCCATCTTTATCCTTATTATTTTAAAGAAATGACATAATTTACCCTTCCCAATTAAAACTCGTTTCTCTTCTCCTTTATCCGCAACTTTCACCGCAAATATTATTATTATTATTATTATTATTATTATTATTATTATTATTATTATTATTATTATTTTTGAAGAGATTATTATTATTATTATTATTATTATTATTATGAGGTTTGTAACAATATTGCTACTTCATTATAAGATGCTAGATCATGATTATGCTAATAGTTTTATTTCAAAATGTTAAATTTTAATATGTAAACAAACTAATTTAAATTTTATGAAGATGTCATTTTTAGCTTTTTACATTTATCAGCTTATCAAAAAGCTAATTTTACCAAACACTTTCAATCATTACAGCTAGCTTAACAGCTCTTCAGTTTTCAGCTCCTAGCTTATAGCTTTTCAGCTAGATTTGCCAAACAGAGCCAATGTGGTTTTATGTAATTACTATTTTTAGATGCAATATATTTATATATTATTTGATATAAATAGTGTTTTCTCTTTTGAAGTATAAACTATTCTCATTAAATAACTATGACAACAGTTTGTTTAATGAAAATATTGTACATCAGCTCCCTGAGAACAAATGGGCATTGGCATCTTTGAAGAATCTATAATATATCTTACATGGATGACTTGTTTGAAGAAGAGTTCAAAGTACATGCAAGGGCTAATTTATGAGGAAAACCGTAATAGAAAATCAAATTGGCCATTAAGTACAAAAGTCACATTAAACATAGGATTTTGCAATGGAATAAGTCCATTCTAAAGGAAAAAGGGAAATATTGTCTATCCACTCCTTGAAGACAAATGGTTGTTCTCACTGTTGATTTGAGTTTCCGTCGTCCCATTCGGAATAGCTCTCTCAAAGGTATTGTTGCATCTTTGAAGAATCTGCAAAACATCTTTCATGGATGACCTGCTCGAAGGAGAACTCAAAGTACACGCAAGGCCTAATTTGAAAAGGGTAGTTGCTGCTTCCAGGTAATGTGGATCCTATAACAGTAGGACCAAAAATGAAATTCACTCTCAAGTTGCATTCATGTTTCAATTCAATTCCTGTGAATATTATTAATTTTGGAATTCCAATGCAATTACTATTGAGCTCCAGAAAGTTTATTTATCACTTTAACATCTAAGAAAATCAAGGAAACAAAGTTGAGTTGCATTATGAATTATAAAGGATCCAGCATAACTGCACTGTGAGTGCAATAGTGAAATTAAACTAAACAAACCATTGCAAAATATTTTGCATTCAAAAGTAAAGTGGAAATATTATATTGTCTATTGGTTCTCTAAAGACAGATGAGTGTTTTCGCTGTATCTTTGAAGAATCTGTGCAATATCTTTCATGGACGGCCTGCTTGATGGGGAATTCAAAGTGCATGCAAGGCCTAATTTGAAAACAGCGATCATTGCCTCCAGATAACGTGGGTCCTTGATCTCCTCATCTAGGGCATCTACAGCTGAGTTCCCTTCTCTTTGGTGTTTGTGTGCCAATTGTGCCAGGTTCATATCCTCATTTGCAGGCACGGCTTCTCTTCCAGTTGTTAATTCCAAGAGAACTACGCCAAAGCTGTAGATATCGCTCTTCGCATCCACTTTTCTTGTACTGCCATATTCTGCATTCTCATGATATATGTGATTATGCAAGTATAAAAATAAGTGGGAATTGAAATGAAGATATAAAAAAAAAAAAAAAAATGTACCCGGGGCAATGTAACCAAAGGTTCCCACAATAGCAGATGCTGTTTCTGGATCTCCTTCACTCGCCATCATCTTTGCCAATCCAAAATCCGCAATCTTAGCATTGAAGTCTGAGTCGACGAGTATGTTACTAGACTTGATATCTCTATGAACAATGGGCGGACTGCAACTGTGATGCATATAGCATAGCCCTTGTGAAGCTCCAATGGCAATTTTTAGCCTCCTCTCCCACTGCAAGACTTGAGTAGTTAAGCCTCTCTTCTTTCCATGCAACCATTTGTGAACACATTGTTTGTCCATGTATTCATACACAAGAAGCTTTGTTGTCTTTCCTCTGATGCAACATAACAATTTCACTATGTTGTTGTGCCAAATTCCCCCAAGAATCTTAACCTCTGCTATAAACTGCTTCTCCAAAATGTGGCCTTCGTTTCGTTCATGCCGTATACTTTTAACAGCAACTCTATCGCCTTTCTTGGTGATCACTCTATATACTTTTCCTGACCCCCCATTTCCAACCAAATTTTGATCTGTCAAACCACTCAATATATCCCATTTATTAAATCCCAATCTTTGAAATGAAACCATACTCCATTCTTCTCCATCATTTTCCATTCTCCCTTTCCCTGTAAGTTTGGTCACGAGTAACTGAGTTACTAACCAAATAAGTACCCCTGCAATTACACCACAACCTATAATGATGTAATGCTTTTTCTTTGATCTGCTAGACTTAGGTTTTTGGCAATCCTGAGGATGACGGCATTGAGAAAGGCCAGAATTATTCGCAAACGATTCTCTAGTAAATCTTGGAAATTGACATGAACAAGGTATCATTCCAGAAAGTTGGTTATTAGACAGATCAAGATCCGAAAGATATATGAGATTGGTCAAAGTTTGTGGAATTGAGTCATTGAGTCGGTTGTGTGATAGATAAAGGCGTTCAACATTCTTCAAGCCTCCAAGTTGTTGAGGTATTGGACCAGAGAGATGATTATGCCCTAAATTCAGAAAATGGAGATACTGCATGGATCCTAATTCTTTTGGAATAGACCCATTCAAGAAATTGGTGTTCATATCCAACCCAAATAACCTGCTGCAATTCCCCAACTCGACAGGAATGCTCCCAGAGAGGGAGTTGTTTGCGAGCTCCAGAATAGTTAGATTAGACAAGAGCCCTAATGAAGCTGGTATAGCACCACTCAACAAATTATCCGACAAAAAAATGCTTTTCAAATTAGTACAGTTGCTGAGAGTTTCAGGGATTGACCCTGACAAGTCATTGAAATCAAGAATCAGATTTTCCAAAGACTGCAAGTACCTTAACTCCAATGGGATTTCCCCCTCAAGCTCATTAGACCAAATCATCAAATCCTTGAGCTTCAACAAGGACCCGAGGCTAGATGGTAAATTCCCTTTAAGGTAATTAAAGTCAAGATCAAGAGATTCCAATTGGGAACAGTTACTTAGACTCTCAGGTATTGGACCAGTGAACATGTTGTTCTGAAGGTACAACACTTTCAAGCTATTCTTAGGGTCTTTACAAATCCCAGAGGGTATCAAACCAGAGATGTTATTAGAACTCAAATCTAAGGTCTCTAAGTTTACCAAGCTAGAAAATGAGTGAGATAAGCTACCAACAAAATTATTGAACGATAAAACCAATGTCTTCAAGCTAGTCAAATTTAGTAGGGTTTCAACATGCAACTCACCAGAGAATGTATTGTTGGATAGATCTAGAAGTTCCAAGGATGAGCAACCACCAAGGGTCTCAGGGACCACACCTGATAATTCGTTGGAAGACAAGTCCAATTCCACAAGAGTTGTACATAAATCTGCTGGTATTTTTCCTGTCAAATCATTTGTGGATAGATCCAAGGTTTCAAGCTTTGAGCAGCTGGAGAGGTTAGCTGGTATAGTTCCAAAGAGAGTATTGGAACTGAAATTGATTGAAACAAGGTTGTTGAGCTGGCATATAATAGTTGAGGCTGGGAATGATCCTCCGATGTTCATTTCGGAGAGAGATATCCGTGTGACACTTCCATTGGAGTTGCATGAAATTCCAGGCCAGTCACATGGGGAGGAAGTGGAGTTCCATTGCTCAAGTGAAGATGGATTTCCCCAGTACTCTTGTTTTATGCTAAGTAAAATACCCCTTTCATCATCCTCATGATTGGTTAAAGATTGTGAATAATTTGGGAAGGAGAAAAGGAGCATGAAGAAGAAGAAGGTATGCTGAATAGGGTGGTGCACCACCATTATATTTTCAAACAATTAAGTAAGCTAATAATAAGATGGTGAGGATCGATCGAGCTCTCTATCTATTATATTATTGTATTGCTTAATGTGAACAACAAAGTTCCACGTTGTTGGGTGGACTTGGACTCAAAGTCAAAGTCAGTGTTATCATAAGTCATTGAACAACACAACATAAAATCCTACTGGTACTTTTACTATTAATTAATTAATTAATTTTATAAATAAACATATGATGATAACAACAACAACATCAATATGTTGGATTGGGTGAGCTAGGTTTTATGGAGTATTGTGTATAATTAAATTTTAAAAAGCATTAGGAAAGTTTCATTTAAATCAAATTTAGTATCCGTTTAAATATTAATTGGGAGTTTTTTTTTTGTTTTGTTTTTTGTTTTTTGTTTTTTTTTTTAAATACATATTATAAGTAAATATCATAAAGTTAATGAATCTATGAATAAGATGGCTAGCTACTCATATCAATTTTCTATTCACCATCACTTTATTTCAACCATTCTGCAAGGCTCACATAAATGCCATGCTTGATAATAGCGGTTAGTGATTTTGACTAGGTATTTAACAACTACTATAAAAAAAAATAACTCACTAACTTGAGCACGTCAAAATTCGGGCTCAGTTTTGGTATTGTTTTGCTCCGAATATAAAAAAAAAAAAAAAAAAAAAAAAAAAAAAAAAACTTTGCACAAAAAAGTTGTAGGACACTCTCTTAGTTTTTCATAACCACTTGAATCACTTGGATTGGGCATCATATTAAGGAAATATGATAAAAACACTATCAACATGTTGCACGACAAATTCCTCAGGACGTGTCTGAATGTTCTTTCGAATCTCTCAAAGTGTTCAATATTAAACCTTCCAAGCCAGCCAATAGTCGGGCTTTGGTTGGCCCCGCGAGGCTCTAGTTATAATTTTTGTTGGCTTTGTCTTCTTATCTGATCTTACTATTGAATTCAAATCGTTTATAAATCTTATAACTCACTACCATTATTCACTACTGGAAATTATGGAATTTCTGACCACCTGAAAGTGATCTTAAATCAAGTCGAAAATCTTGTTCCGACCACTTTTGGTATCCGGAAAAACCTTTGTTGCTATTTCCGACCACTTTTTGGACTTTTTGGTATCAACTTAATTTAAGATCATTTTCAGGTGGTCGGAAATTTCATAATTTCCAATAGTGATTGCTCCCTTCACTTTGAACAATAGAATAAAATATGATGAAGAAAAAAATAAAAGAAATCATTGTTTATTTCACTCAATATAGAACTCTAATACACACCTCACATATGTGCCAATGTTTGGCAAACCTAGCTGAAAGCTAAAAAGGAGCAGAAAGCGGAAAAACTATAAGCTATGAGCTGAAAATTGAAGAGCTGTTATGCTTGAAAGTGTTTGGTAAAATTAGCATTTTGATAAGCTGATAAACGTAAAAAGACTAAAAAGGACATCTCCATAAAATTTAAATTAGTTTGTTTACATATTAAAATGTAACATTTTGTCTTTAAAAAAATTACTATTTTGAAATAAAACTATTAGCATAATCATGATCAAGCATCTCATAATGACGTAGCAATATTGTTCTGAATCTCCATCATCTCATAATAATAATAATAATAATAATAATAATAATAATAATAATAATAATAATAATAATAATTGCAGATAAAGGAGAAGAGAAAAAAATTTTAATTTGAAAAGGTAAAGGATGCCATTTCTTTAAAATAATAAGGACAAAAATGGGAAAAAAAAAATTAAGAAGCTACTAGTTTATTTTGGAACGCTACCTAAGGTAACGTTCCAAAATAAGCTCTTATTTTAAGCTACGAGCTTATTTTAAAAATATTATCAAACAAAACTTATAGTTTATTAGTATCTTAAAATAAGCTATAAGCTCTGCCAAACAGAGCCTATATATATACATATGTATACATATACATATGTATACATATACATATGTATATATATATATATATATATATATATATATATATGTGTGTGTGTGTGTGTGTGTGTGTGTGTGTGTGTGTGTGTGTGTGTGTGTGTGTGTGTGTATAGTTAATACCATCTGAGGTTATCTGAGTATAGTGGTTTTGTCACGTTTAGTTCTAAACTTTCAAATTAATCATATATGGTCCTTCGACTTTCAAATTAAATTTAACCATTCGTGGTCAAAGTTAACCACCCATGGTCCTTCAAGTTTCAGAATTTAACCAGTCGTGGTCCTCTTGAAAGGACCATGGTTGGTTAAAATTTAATAGTTGAAGGACCATGAGTGGTTAACTTGGACCACGAATAGTTAAATTTGAAAGTCGAAGACCACAGATGATCAATTTGAAAGTTTAGGACTAAACGTGATAAAATTACTATATTCGGAAGACCTCGGATGATATTAACTCAACTGCAAGTTACTTTATTGGTCCGGCTATGTTCACTAAAAGAGGATGACTTGATTGGTGTATTGCTTGCTTGATTTAAACCATAAATTAAGTTGGTTGACTTGGACTTGGAGTCTACTCTGCTAACGGATTTCTAAACCAAAATTCAATTTAAATACTTTTATTTTCGGATAGATCCAACTCTTCAAGTTTTGAGCAAGTGGAGATGTCAATTGGAATAGTCCCCCTGAGATTATTCCTAGCCAGATAGATTGAAGAAAGGTTGTTGAGTTGGCATATAATTTTTTAGGGTAATGACCCTTCGAGGCCCATGTCGTTGAGATTTATCCATGTGACACTTCCTCCTAAGGTGCAAAAAATTTCAGGCCAGAAACATGGGGAGGAAGTGGAGTTCCATTGCTCAAGTGAAAATGGATTTCTCCAGTGTTGTTTTAGGATACTTAAAATAGCCCTCTCATCATCCTCATGATTGGTTACAGATGTGAATAATTTAGGAAGGAGAAAAGGAGAATAATGAAGATGAAGAAGAACAAGGCATGATGAGTAGGGTGGTGCTGCTGCATTTTCAATCAAGTAGTTAATTAACCTAATAATAATTATAATAATAAGATGGTGAGGAGTGTGAAGGTAGAAAACAATTGTATTGATTATAACTTTACAATGAAGGTATAAATAGAGCTTTACATGAGAAGTTGTAATAGAATCATAATAGTAGGCTAAAGAAAGAGTAAACAACAGAACTAGAGACTCATTCAAGCCACATGTTTAACATGCCCTGCAAGATGGAGGATCCGTCGGAGACTCCGATCTTGGACCGGAAAAGTTGAAAGGATGCACGACCCAGCGGCTTCGTGAGAATATCTCCGAGCTGTTCCTTAGAGGGAAGATGACGAACAACCAAAGCCCCAGAAACCACCAACTCACGAACGAAGAAATAGTCAAGGGCAAGATGCTTCATCCTAGAATGGAACACAGGATTTTTGCAGACATACGTAGCACTCAGATTATCACAAAGCAACACATGAGTGCCACTCAAAGGCACTCGTAGCTCCCGCAAAAGATGCTGAACCCATAGAACCTCAGCAGTAGCATTCGCAAGGGCACGATACTCCACCTCAGTGGAAGAACGAGAAACTGACTTCTGACGCGTCGACTTCCAAGAAACAATGTTACCACCAAGATACAAAACATATGCAGTGGTAGAACAGCCCAAGGTATTAGAACCACCCCAATCAGAATCCGAAAAGACGGTGAGCTGAAAGGTACTTTTAACTTTGAGTAGTAATCCATGAAACAACGTACCCTTGAGGTAGCGTAGAACACGCTTCGTAGCAGACCAATGGGCTGCAGATGGTGCATACATAAACTGTGACAAACGGTTCACGGCGAACGAGACAAAGTGGCTTGGATTTGACGTCTCCAAACTGAAAAGTTGGAGGAAGTAAGTTTAATGGGGAAATTTGCAGGAGCAGTAATTTGAATTATGGGGATTTCAGGTGTGTCAGTTGTGGTGGACATTATGTAGTCTAGGGAGAAGAGAGAAAAAAAAAAACTAAGAATTGTTGCTGGCTCTTGATACCATGTGAAGGTAGAAAATAATTGTATTGATTATAACTTTACAATGAAGGTATAAATAGAGCTTTACATGAGAAGTTGTAACAGAAGCATAACAGTAGGCTAAAGAAAGAGTAAACAACAGAACTAGAGACTCATTCAAGCCACATGTTTAACAAGGAGCGAGTGAGGAGGAGCTAGCAATAAGATGGTGAACAACAAAGTTACGTCGTTGGGTGGAGTTGGAGTCAAAGTCAATGTCAGTGTTATCATAATTCATTGAATTCAGGGCCGGATTTGGGGTTGTGCAAGCTGGGTTACCGCACAGGGCCCCCAGTTTTAGAGGGCCCCCAAATTTTAGAGGGCCAGTATAGTAGTATACCTAATATACCACACAAATTTAAAAAAAAAAATAAAAAATTCTGAGGATTAAACCGATCAGTTTTCTCCGTTAATTAAACGAAATTTTTTTTACAATTAAACCGATCAGTTTTCTCCAACGTTAATTAAAATTTATGAAAGAATTAATTGAGCAATCAATAATGTTGTTTCTCGATGTTTCTTTGTCTTCTTTGCCGATTAAAGATTGGCAGGGCCGCAGAGAATTGAGAGGAATAAGATCAGAGTTCAATTCATCTTAGTTTTCTACTCTTCTAGTCTTCTTCGACGTCCACAGTTCTGTGTTTCCGGCAAAGGCTGCACACTCCACGAATTTCATCTTAGTCTTCTACTCTTCTTATTCTTCTAGTCTTCTTCGACGTCCACAATTCTGCACGGATTCACGGAAATACGGAATCGGGAAGACTGGAAGCGGTGAAGTCTTCAATCTTGAACCTGGGCGTTTCCTCCTTATTTGCATCTTTGTTTTTGAACCATATATATCATTATCACTTATCACGCCGGCAAGCCAGCAAGCTACACATACATACACTCACTTCATCATCTTAATTATGTGAGATTTGAGAAGTTCAGCCTTCTGCGCTTTTCTGGACTCTGGACTCTGGACTCTGGAGTTCTGGCTTCTTGCCTTCTTCCTTCTGCCCCTTCTGGTCACGGGTAAGCAACTCAGCAATCATAATAAAATTTATTCTGCGTTTTGTTTTAATCAATTTTTTTTTTGAAAAATTGTTTTAATCAATTTTTTTTTGAAAAATTGTTTTAATCAATTTTTTTTTGAAAAATTGTTTTAATCAATTTTTTTTTTGAAAAATTGTTTTAATCAAATTTAGTATGCGTTTTGGCACTTTTTGCAGGTCTTGTTGTAGATATTATAGATTTTGTTGCGGTGTACTCGCTCGGTGTTGGCGTGTTACCGGGAGACGGGGAGAGGCGGGAGTGCTGCTGTGTTGGTCGGCGTGACGGCAGTAAGGCAGTAACAGACCAAGACAATAAACAAAAAATAAGGATTTTTCAATCAGGTTGTTTCAATCATTTTTAACTTTAAATTTTTAATTTTATATGTTATATGTGTAATGTGATTGCTCCTTGCCTCTTTGTTAGAATATTGTTGTTTGATAACTTTGATTTCAATTGCTGAATCTGTGAATTGCATATTTGCATATTATGGCTCCCGGCATTAGAAAACATGAATCTGGCTATGAAAAACGTAAGAAACAAAAAAAAATGAAGAGTTACAACGATTACAAAGAGGAGCATTAGATAAGTTTATAATTAAAACACCACAATTTTTTTCTGAAAATCCAAATGTTGGCGTTGATGTTGATAATGAAAATAATGTGGATAATCATGATACTAATGTTGAAAATGGTAACAATGTGCATATTAATATTGACAATATTGATCAAGTAGAGAATGAAAAAATGAATAATTCACCCAACAATGATGATGATGCTTTATATGAAACTAACAATTGTGATATTTTTTATCCAAGAAATTGGGATGGACTTGATTCGAAAATGATTGATTTATTAGTAATCAATGGTTCTAAGAGAGATAATTCTATTGTAAAAGGCCCTAAAGATAAGTTTTCTAGGTGATTTAATGCAAATTTGTATACTAGGGTCTTATCAAATGGCGAAAAATGTGATAGAGAATGGTTAGTTTACTCAAAAGAGCTTGATAGAGTTTTTTTTTTTTTTTTTTTTTTTGTTGCAAAATCTTTAAAAATGGTATTGGTAAAGGTCAATTAACAAATGGAGGTTTCAATGATTGGGCTCATATTGGTGAAAGACTTAGAGAACATGAGACATGTATGGAGCATATTAAAAATATGACGACTTGGTATGATTTGCGTCAAAGGTTTAAGACAAATCAAACCATTGACAAAGTCGCTCAAGGATTAATTAAGAAGGAGAAAGATCATTGGAAAAGAGTTTTGTTAAGAATTATTTCTTTTGTTAAGTTTCTTGGCAAACGTACTTTAGCCTTTCGGGGTACTAATGAAAAATTGTATCAAAATGACAATGGAAATTTTTTAGGCTTAGTTGAGATGGTGGCCGAATTTGACCATATTATCCAAGAACATGTTAGGCGTATTAAAAATGAAGAAATTTACTTTCAATATCTTGGTCATAGCATTCAAAATGAATTAATATTTTTGCTTGCTTCCTCGATGAAATCTGAAATATTAAAAAAAAATAAAGCAAGCAAAATACTTTCTGTAATACTTGATTGTACTCCTGATATTAGCCACAATGAACAAATGTCATTAATAATAAGATATGTTGATGTCTCTACACATCAAGTTAATATTGAGGAGTCTTTTTTAGGATTTTTGAATGTGAATGATTCAACTGGACTAGGTCTTTTTAGTACTTTGTAAAATGAATTGCACCTTCTTAATCTTAATATTTTTGATATACGTGGACAAAGTTATGATAATGAGTCAAATATGAAGGGTAAACATCAAGGTGTGCAAAAAAGACTTTTAGATGAAAATCCTAGAGCTTTTTATACTCCATGTGGTTGTCATAGTCTTAATTTAGTTTTATGTGATATGGAAAATGCTTGTAGTAAAGCAAAAGCAAAAGATTTTTTTGGAGTTATACAACGTATATATACAATTTTTGCAAAATATACCAAGAGATGGGGTATTTTGAAAGATAATGTACATGGTTTAACTCTTAAGTCATTGTCTCCACTCGTTGGGAGAGTCGTGTTGAGAGTGTTCAAGCCATAAGATTTCAAATGGTAGAAATACGAGAGGCTTTACTCCAAGTTGCTGATGTTGATAGTGATTCCTTAGTAAGAAGTGAAGCTAAATCTTTTTTAACAAATGAACTTGGTGATTTTGAATTTTTGTTGGATATAGTAATATGGTTCCATATATTGTATCGTATTAATTTTGTTAGCAAGTACTTGCAATCCAAAGACATGCTTATTGATGTTGCTTACGAAAAAATTGAGGAATTGGTTTCTTTTTTTGAGAAATATAGAGAAAGTGATTTTAATGATGCCTTGGATTCTGCTAAGGAAATTGCTATTAAAATGGATATAGATCCCCTTTTTCCTAAGAGACGTGAAATCCGTAGAAAAAAACAATTCATGAAAATTCAAATGCATCATTAGAAGTTTCATTATCTGCAGAAGATTCATTTAGAGTTAATTTTTTTTTTTCATTGTTGATCAAGCTGTTGTTTCTCTTAAAAGTAGGTTTGAGCAATTTCAAGAGTATGGGAAAATATTTGGTTTCTTGTTTAATTTTGACAGGTTAAGTTCTTTAGTTGATATGAGTTTGAAGTCTTCATGTAGTCGTCTTGAAAATTCTCTTAAGCATAATGGACATTCGGATATTAATGGAGATGAGTTGTATGTGGAGTTAAAACTAAGAAGAGAGTTGTATGTTAATGAAAAACTAGGACCCATTGAAATTTTGAAAGATTTGGAATTGTTTGATTGTTATCCTAATGCAGTTATTGCATATAGAATTTTATTAACTATTCCTGTTACTGTTGCATCTGCAGAAAGAAGTTTTTCCAAGTTGAAATTGTTGAAGTTCTACTTATGCTCTACAATGTCACAAGAACGACTTAACGGATTAGCAATGATATCTATTGAAAATGATCTTTTGGATAAAGTAGATTATGAAGAGTTGATTGATGAATTTGCATCAAAGAATGCTAGAAGAACATCTGTTTTTAAATAAAAGATCTCTAATTTGCATTATGTTAGAATTTTATTTATAATAAATAAAGTTGTTTGAACTTTTCTTCTTTATATTGAAAATCATATATAAATAAAAATCATATATTTAACGATATTGATTTTAAATATTGCGCTTATACTTTTGATAGAGACCGTAGGGCCTCATTTATTTAGGAGCACGGGGCCACAAAAAAACTAAAAAACGGCACTGATTGAATTGAACCAAAATTTATATCAACCATAGTTACAACACGTGCATTGCGCCAATAGTTTAATATCTAATGTGTATTTTAAATTAGTGTTTTAGAATTTATCAAAGTATCATTCCGTATCATAGCGTATATGCAAAATTATCATTTTTTTTTATAAAAGTAAATATTTCAAAAATGTATAACTATGACATGTGATAGAAATGTTGGATTAACTAGTGCAATAGCAGTTTTAAAAGGAAGCAACCTCACTTGATTGTATATACCCAAGTATAATTTTTACAACACAAAATCTTATTAATGGGCATGATCCATGCTTCCTCTTATTGTCACTTCCACCATAAATGAATTCTTGGTATGATCTAGTCCTCCCTGGTGTGCTTCAGTGCAATCTTAGTACCTTGACGCATTGCACCTTCAAAACATAACCAAATCCTTCTCCCCCTCCAAAAAATGATAATAGGCATAGTTTCTCATCCATGTTGAATATATACTGTTTCACCAATGTCATTAAGGTGGCGTTTAGTTGGGAACTATTATCATATTTAAAATTCATTATAATGTTTATTGGTTTACTCTTGTTATCTTATTATTAAATTCAAATCATTTAGAAATATTGAAACCCACTACCATTTTACTCCCTTACTTCTTTTGAGCAATGCAATCGTTATATCCTACACCACGGCGTACATAGCACTGTGCGCCGCGCGCCTCCCAAAACGACGTCGTTTTGGGGCGTGTTGGGAGGCGCGGTAGGAAGTTGCTGAGATTATGTGTATTTGTTCACAACGTTATGTGTATTTGTTCACAACGTTATGTGTATTGGTTCATACAGTTATGTGTATTTTTTATACAATTATGTACATCCGAATCAAAAAATTTGTGTGTATTATGTTAAGAGTTGATGTTTATTATGTTAAAAGTTTATGTTTATTATGTATTATGTTAGATTATGTGTATTATCTTTTAAAAAGAGTATGTATATTTTGTTATAACATTATGTGTATTCATGTATAACATTATGTGTATTCATGTATAACATTATGTGTATTCTTGAACAACGGGTTTTTTTTTAAAGAAAAGCCTACTGCCATTCACTGGGGCGGGAAATTTCAAAAAAAAAAATAATTAAAACGACGTCGTTTTGCATCTGGGCGCATAGTGCAATGTACGCCGTGGTGTAGGATATAAATTGCCTGAGCAATGGAATCCACAATAATGAAGAAAAAAATAAAAGAAATAATTGTTTATTTACTCAATATAGAACTTTAATACACACACCCACATATTTGATATATATTTATTAATTAATTAATAGTAATTAATTTATTAATTTGATTTCAATTCCAATTTACTACTCAACAAAGAAATTTCTTTTACTTAAATCTATTACAATTATTAAATATTTAATTTCAATTAAGATTTTAATTCCAATATTTGAATCAAATGCTCCCTAATTGTTACTGACTAACTAAAAATACATATAAAGAAATGTGTTGATTTTATAATAAAAAATTATTAATTTATAATAATTATATTTAATAAATAATAAATATAAATATTTTATAATAATAATTCATGTGTTTTTCATAATTTGTTACTCAAAAATCAAATGAATAGTATGTGACTTAATTGGACATGATGTAAACCATAAATTAAGTTGGGTGGACTTTGAATTAGAGTCAACTCTGCTAACAGATTTCTAAACCAAAATTCAATTTAAATACTTTTATTTTGGGTTTAACATATTTGGACCGGAATACATTGAAATATAGAATTGAGTGGAACACACGGCGTTTACTTCAATTAACGATTTTTCCTTTATCTATTTTTCATTTTTGCAGTTTAGAGAATACAAATATCAACATTTATTTATTTTTTCTTTTTTTTTTTCAGAAAATTTATTCAATTAGTAATCATATCAACATAAATTGTTAAACATGAAAATTTATAACCATGGAATTTCTTTTTATGTTTTATGTAGCTTGATTCGAAAGTTGGACTTGGAGTGTAGTAATCGGATGAATTGAGTTGTGAACATGAAAGCGTAAGAACTCAACGGGATTCTCCTCCTTTTTTTTGTCTGATTTGAGCTCCTTTTGGTTATAAGCTTGTTTAGCCGATCTTAGTATTGGGGTTTTTTTCTGGATCGCCGCTTCAAGTATTGCTCCCGTTGGACTTCTTAGGAGGTAAGTTGGAGATCTACTTGCTTTTACTTCATTTTTCGTCGAGTATTTAGTGTCAAACATCTTGTGCTCAGATGACACCTTTGTGGCTCTCATCGAGGGAAAGCCACAGGATCAAACTGATAGTACCTATTACTAGGTACCATGCTGAAAAGTTGTTTGTAGACAAGTCCAATTCCAAAAGAGGTGTACATAACTCTCCAATACCCTGGAAGCTCCTCTGAAAATAATTTCCCCCTAGGTACAAATACTGCAAATTCCCACTAGGCAGCTTTGAAACACCACCCCCAAACATTTTGTTGGAGAGATTTTGGAAACTGAGCTCTTAGCATGAAGAAAGGGAGCACTGAAGCTGTTTGATGATAAATCATAAATGAATATGTTGTAAACTAGACTAGCCTTGAAATGAAGGGAATTTTTCAGAAAAATTATTGGCAGAAAGCTTCAAATATAGCAAAATTTTGAAACTCAATTCTGGAATATTTTTGCTGAGACTAATGTTCTACAACACCAGAAATGATAACCAGTGATATTCAATAATATTCATGAGCTAAGATTTACAAACTTATATACAGGAGCTCAACACCAAAATAGGTGGAGTAGCTCAGGAAGTCTAAAGACTAACAGAAAAGATAACAAACCAATAATAATAATAATAGTTGGTCTAATACCAGACTCTCCAAATTTTCAAGACTGTGCAAGTAAGAAGAAAAACATTAAACAAGTAATATTGTTGCCCGTGGGTACAAAAGTCACATTAAATAAACCGCTATTGCCAACATTTCGTAATGGTACAAGTCCATTCAAAAGTAATGTGAAAATATTATATTATATTGTCTATCAGCTCTCTGGGGACATATGATTGTGTTCACTGCATCTTTGAAGAATCTGTGAAATATCTCTCATGGACGGTCTGCTTGATGGGGAACTCAAAGTGCACGCAACGCCTAATTTGAAAACAGTATTCATTGCCTCTAGATAACGTGGGTCCTTGATCTCCTCATCCAGGACATCTGCAGCTAATTTTCCTTCTCTTTGGTGTTTGTGTGCCCATTGTGCCAGGTTCATATCCTCATTTTTAGTCATCGCTTCTCTTCCAGTTGTCAATTCCAAGAGAACTACGCCAAAGCTGTAGATGTCGCTCTTCGCATCCACTTTTCTTGTACTGGCGTATTCTGCATTCCCATGATATATATGTGATTCTGGAAGTATAAAAAACAGTGGGAATTGAAATGATAAAGATATAAAAAGAAATGTACCCGGGGCAATGTAACCAAAGGTTCCCACAATAGCAGATGCTGTTTCTGGATCTCCTTCCCTCACCATCATCTTTGCCAGTCCAAAGTCTGCAATCTTGGCATTGAAGTCAGAGTCGACGAGTATGTTACTGGACTTGATATCTCTATGAACAATAGGTGGATTGCAACCGTGATGCATATAACAAAGCCCTTGTGAAGCTCCAATGGCAATTGGTAGCCTCCTCTCCCACTGCAAGACTTGAGTAGTTAAGCCTCTTTTCTTTCCATGCAACCATTTGTGAACACATTGTTTGTCCATGTACTCATACACAAGAAGCTTTGTAGTCTTTCCTCTGATGCAGCATAACAATTTCACTATGTTGTTGTGCAAAATTCCTCCAAGGATCTGAACCTCTGCTATAAACTGCTTCTCCAAAATGTGGCCTTCGTTTCGTTCATGCCTAATACTTTTAACAGCAACTTTTTTACCTTTCTTTGTGATCACTCTATATACTTTTCCTGACCCTCCATTTCCAACCAAATTTTGATCTGTCAAACCACCCAAAATATCCCATTTATTGAACCCCAATCTTTGAAATGAAACCATACTCCATTCTTCTCCATCATTTTCGATTCTCCCTTTCCCTGCTAGTCTGATCACGAGGAACTGAGTTACTAACCAAATAAGTACCCCTGCAATTACACCACAACCTATAATGATGTAATTCTTTTTCTTTGATCTACTAGGCTTAGAACTTGAACTTGAACTTGAATTTGATTTTGGAACGCACCGAGCAAGGGGGTATCCACAAAGGCCAGAATTATTAGCAAACCTATAATCTGGAAATGTGTTAAAAGGAGCTGATTGAGGTATCATTCCAGAAAGGTGGTTATTTGACAGATCAAGAACTTCAATATTCTTCAAGCGTCCAAGTTCTTGAGGTATTGGACCAGAGAGATCATTATGCCCCAAATTCAGAATAGAGAGATAGTACATGGAACTTAATTCCTTTGGAATACTGCCTTCCAACTTATTGTAAGAAAGGTCAAGGAAAATGATGAATCTGCTCATTCTGTTGTGGTTAAATGTTGGTTGTGTAAAGCCATTGAAGTCTCCAGTAATATTGCAGGGGTGCCTGATTGAAATCCTGTCAAGGCAACCCAGTGAAATCCCACCAAATTCGAGTATATTTCCTGCTCCGTGGCACTGCTCACTTCCATCATTCTTAATATACACATATTGCTTCTCAGTGAGTAATGCCATTGCAATATTGCCAGAATGTTTGAACAGAGCAGGGGGAATGGACCCATTCAAGGAATTGGTGTTCATATCCAACCATAACAAGCTGCGGCAATGTCCCAACTCAGCAGGTATGTTCCCAGAGATGGTGTTGTTTCCCAACTTTAGAATGGATAGATTAGACAAGGTCCCTAATGAAACTGGTATAACACCACTCAACAAATTATCCGACAAAGAAATCCATTTCAAATTAGTACAGTTGCTGAGAGTTTCAGGGATTGACCCTGACAAGTCATTGAAATCAAGAATCAGATTTTCCAAAGACTGCAAGTACCTTAACTCCAATGGGATTTCCCCCTCAAGCTCATTCAACCAAATCATCAAATCCTTGAGCTTCAACAAGGACCCCAGACTAGATGGTATCTTCCCTTTAAGGTAATTAAAGCTAAGATCAAGAGATTCCAATTGGGAACAGTTGCTTATACTCTCAGGTATTGGACCAGTAAACAGGTTATTCTGAAGGTACAACACTTTCAAGCTATTCTTATGGTCTTTACAAATTTCAGAGGGAATCAAACCAGAGATGTTATTTGAACTCAAATCTAAGGTCTCTAAGTTTACCAAGCTAGACAATGACTCAGACAAGCCACCCACAAAATTATTGAATGATAAATCCAGTGTCTTCAAGCTAGTCAAATTTAGTAGGGTTTCAACAGGCAACTTACCAGAGAATCTATTGCCGGATAGATCTAGATGTTCCAAGGTTGAGAAATCACAAAGGGTCTCAGGGACCACACCTGATAATTCGTTGGAAGACAAGTCCAATTCCACAAGAGTTGTACATAAATCTGCTGGTATTTTTCCTGTGAAATAATTTCCAAATAGATCCAACTCTTCAAGTTTTGAGCAGCTGGAGAGGTTAGCTGGTATAGTTCCAAAGAGACTATTGAAACTGAAATCTATTGAAACAAGGTTGTTGAGCTGGCATATAATAGTTGAGGCTGGGAATGATCCTTCGATGTTAATTTCGGAGAGAGATATCCGTGTGACACTTCCATTGCTCAAGTGAAGATGGATTTCCCCAGTACTCTTGTTTTATGCTAAGTAAAACAGCCCTTTCATCATCCTCATGAGTGGTTAAAGATTGTGAATAATTTGGGAAGGACAAAAGGAGGAGCATGAAGAAGATGAAGGCATGATGAATAGGGTGGTGCACCACCATTTTTCAAACTAAGCTAATAATAAGAATATAAGATGGTGAGGAGTGAGTGAGGATCATATCGGAGGAGCTAGCAATTGCTCTTCCAGCTGCTCTCATCTCATCTATTATTGTATTGCTTAATGTGAACAACAAAGTTACACGTTGTTGGGTGGACTTGGACTCATAGTCAATGTCAATGTTATCAAATTAATTAAATATAGTTACATGTAATACGTTTCTTAAATTGCTGAAATATGAAAAATCAGGCTTTCTTCTTTCTATGTTCTTGTATATCAAAGAAGTTTTACTATCCAAAGTCCAACTTTGACATGAGAGTTTTTTAACAAATTAGTCGTAGATAGTTTCATTAAACTGGCAAATTACATGTATTTTCATAATTTCTTTTTTGTGAGTTTAAAATTTTAAATTTTGGATTCTCCATTGGGGTTTTTTTTCTTATTAGTTTTGTATAGATGTAATATAATATTAGATGAATGAATTTAAAATATGGATATGGAGAAGTGTTACACAGTCGAGGGCAAAATTGAGCCTTAGGATTTGCTTCAACCAATCATACCCGCCTACCTATTCCAACTCCGACTTTAGACAGCTGCCACATTTGAATGATTTGATTATTCCATATTTGAAAATTAAACAGATCTAATTTTTGGCTATGTTTTTTTTTTTTTAAACCAAAAAACTAAATTTATATTAAATCATCACCAAACAAACGGGAAATACAACTAGGCAAGTTTGGTATTGTTTTGTTCCGAATCTGAAAAACTTTGAACATAAAAGTTGTAGTACACTCTCTTAGCTTTCCATAGTCACTTGAATCACCTTGATTGGACTTCATATTAAGGAGATATGATCAAAATACTATCACTGAGACTCAATCTCATGACCTTTCCAATATATATGCCCTGGAAGCTCCCCCTGAAAATCATTTCCCCCTAGGTACATATACTGCAAACTCCCACTAGAAAGCTTTGCAACACCACCCCCAAACATATTGTTGGACAGATTGAGGAAACTTAGCTTGTAGCATGAAGAAAGGGAGCACTGGAGCTGTTTGATGATAAATCATAAATGAATATGTTGTAAACTAGACTAGTCTTGAAATGAAGGGAATTTTTCAGAAAAATTATTGGCAAAAAGGTTTAAATAAGACAAAATTTTGAAACTCAATTTTTTAATATTTTCGCTGAGACTGGTGTTCTTGAACACCAGACATTCCAAGTTTTCAAAACTGAGCAAGTATAAATAAACACATTAAACAAGTAAGAATAATATTGTCCTGTGAGTACAATAGTCACATTAAATAAACCACCATTGTTTCAATATTTCGTAATGGTAAAGTCCATTCAAAAGTAAAGTGAAAATATTATATTATATTGTCTATTGGCTCTCTAGAGACAAATGATTGTTTTTGCGGTATCTTTGAAGAATCTTTGAAATATCTTTCATGGACGGTCTGCTTGATGGGGAATTCAAAGTGCATGCAAGGCCTAATTTGAAAACAGCGATCATTGCCTCCAGATACCGTGGGTCCTTGATCTCCTCATCTAGGGCATTTGCAGCCGAGTTCCCTTCTCTTTGGTGTTTGTGTGCCCATTGTGCCAGGTTTATATCCTCATTTCCAGTCACTGCTTCTCTTCCAGTTGTCAATTCCAAGAGAACTACGCCAAAACTGTAGATGTCGCTCTTCGCATTCACTTTTCTTGTACTGCTGTATTCTGCACTTCTATGATATATATATATGTGATTCTGCAAGTATAAAAAACAATGGGAATTGAAATGATGAAGATATAAAAAATGTACCCGGTGCAATGTAACCAAAGGTTCCCACAATAGCAGATGCTGTTTCTGAATCTCCTTCACTCTTCATCATCTTTGCCAGTCCAAAGTCTGCAATCTTGGCATTGAAGTCAGAGTCAACGAGTATGTTACTGGACTTGATATCTCTATGAATAATGGGTGGATTGCAACTGTGATGCATATAGCAAAGCCCTTGTGAAGTTCCAATGGCAATTCTTAGCCTCCTCTCCCACTGCAAGACTCGAGTAGTTAAGCCTCTCTTCTTTCCATGCAACCATTTATGAAGGCATTGTTTGTCCATGTATTCATACACAAGAAGCTTTGTTGTCTTTCCTCTTATGCAACATAACAATTTCACTATGTTGTTGTGCCAAATTCCTCCGAGGATCTTAACCTCTGCTAGGAACTGTTTCTCCATTAATCCCTGCCCTTGCTTTTGTTCATGCCTTATACTTTTAACAGCAACCTTTTGACCTTTCTTGGTGATCACTCCATATACTTTCCCTGACCCTCCATTTCCAATCAAATTTTCATCAATCAAACCGCCCAAAATATCCCATTTATTGAATCCCAACCTTTGAAATGAAATCATACTCCATTCTTCTCCATCACTTTCTTTTCTGAGTTTTCTCCTTCCAACCCTAGGTCTGAACACCAGAATTCCTATCCCAATGATGACTACTGCTGCCGCTACAATCACGACACAAGTTACAATTGTTGCAAGGGTTAGTCTCGCATCCCACATATGGCTAACAGTTTCGCTTTTTTCTCCGGAAAATTTGTTGTATGATTCATCAATATTCTTCAATTGATGTAGTTCTCCAAAGCCTCTTGGAATACTTCCACTCAGATGATTATGAGAAATATCTATGTTACTCAGACTAAGTAAGTCAAATAATCTAGCAGGAATTTCACCAGTCAAATTGTTAGAGGCAAGTGAAAGATGAGAGAGTTGATGCAACCGCAAAAATGTAGCAGGTATTGGACCACACAAAGAATTCATGGACAAATTTAAGTAGCTAAGGTTGTAAAAATTTCCTATATCATCTGGTATAGATCCATTCAAATCGTTACTTGAAACATCAAGAGACTCCAAACTATAAGCCACCATGGGTGTCGGTATCTCAGCGAACAACATGTTGCTTCGAAGATTTAAACTATGTAGGGTTTTCATGGAAAAAAACTCACCTGCTATTTTTCCTGTCAAATCATTTATGGATAGATCCAAGGTTTCAAGCTTTGAGCAGCTGGAGAGGTTAGCTGGTATAGTTCCCCAAAGACTATTGGAACTGAAATTGATTGAAACAAGGTTGTTGAGATGGCATTGAGGCCGGGAATGATCCTCGGATGCTCATTCCAGAGAGAGATATCCGTGTGACACTTCCATTGAAGTTGCATGAAATTCCAGGCCAGTCACATGGGGAGGAAGTGGAGTTCCACTGCTCAAATAGTGAAAATGGATACCCCCAGTGTTGTTTTAGGATAAGTAAAATAGCCCTTTCATCATCCCCATAAGTGGTTAAAGATTGTGAATAATTTGGGAAGGAGAAAAGGAGGAGCATGAAGAAGAAGAAGAAGGCATGATGAATAGGGTGGTGCACCACCATTTTCAGCTAATAATAATAAGATGGTGAGGATCGAAGGAGCTAGCAATTGCTCTTATCTATTATGTTCTTGTATATCAAAGAAGTTTACTGTCCAAAGTCCAACTTTGACTTGAGAGTTTTTGAACAAGTTAGTGGTAGATAGTTTCATTAAACTGACAATTAAAAACAATAATGTATTTTCACAATTTCTTTTTTGGGAGATTAAAATTTTTAATTTTGGATTCTTCATTGGGTTTTTTTTTTCTTTATTTTATTTATTTATTAGTTTTGTATAGATGTTATATAATATTAGATGAATGAATATGGAGAAGTGTTAGACCGTCGAGAGTAAAATTGAGCCTTAGGATTTGCTTCAACCAATCATACTGCCCTCCCTACTCCAACTCCGACTTTGGACAGCTGCCACATTTGAATGATTTGATTATTCCATATTTGAAAATTTAAACAGAGTCTAATTTTTGGCTATGTTTTTTTTTTTTCCTTAAAACCAAAGAACAGAATTTATATTAAATCACCAAACAAACTGGAAATACAACTAGGCAATCAAGTTTGGTATTGTTTTGTTCCGAATATGAAAAAACTTTGAACATAAAAGTTGCAGGACACTCTCTTAGCTTTCCATAGTCACTTGAATCACCTTGATTGGACTTTATATTAAGGAGATATGATCAAAACACTATCAACTTGTTGCAAGACAAATTCCTCAGGACGTGTCCGAATTGAATGTTATGATATTCTGGTATGAATGCATCTGGAATCTCTCAAAATGTTCAATATTAAAGTTGTTGAGGACTTCCTTATCTTTCCTTTGACACTTGAATCATCTCATTTGGACTCCCTATGAGGACTACTCTTCTTATACTACTATTGAATTGAAATCGTTCATAAATCTTAAAACTCACTACCATTTTTGTTCCCTTACTTTTGAACAATGGAATAAAAAATGATGAAGAAAAAAATAAAAGAAATCATTATTTTTTATTTTTTATTTTTGAAAATAAAGAGCTAATTCATTAATCATAAGTTGAAACAGTTACAATAAAAATCGATAAAATGATAAAACATACTTTACAGTCAAACATAGAAACAACTTTCCTAGCAATGCTAAAAGAAACTTGAATCGCAAACTGTGTTACAAAATTGAAGTTGAATTCAATGGAGTAACCTGAAGCTTCTTTGATGTTGTTAATGATCTGGCTATCCAACACTGACTCTATTTGAGAAGTCTTGCATACCACCTGAGTAACTATTGCAGCTCTTCTGTCCGTAGACAATATCTTTATTAATCTGAACTGCATATCATGGTTCAGATCTTGTTCGTTGCTCAGGATGAGATAAACATACACCTTGATAAATTAAATCGTTTCACATTAATGAAAAAAGAACTTGCCAAAGAAATGAGAGAGAATAAGTCGCCAAAGAAGCGAGAGGAAATAACTTGTCAAAATAACTAATACACACACTCACATATGTGCGTGTATTATATATTTTTATATATTTATTTATTTATTATTAATTAATTAATTAATTTGATGGCAATATAATTTGCTACCAAATAAAAAAAATAAAAAAAATCTTCTACTTAATTACAAAGTATTTAAAATTCAATTATAATTCGTGTTCTTGTTTATAATTATTTGTCCCTCAAAAATTAGTCCTGACTATGAGAATGACTTGATTGGTGTATTGCTCGATTTGAACCATAAATTGCGTTGGGTGGACTTGGACTTGGAGTCTACATACTCTGCTACCGGATTTCTAAACCAAAATTCAATTTAAATACTTTTCTTTTAGTGTAACATATTTGGACCAGAATACCTAGAATTGAGTTAATGACCCGGCGTTTACTTCAATCAATCGTTATGCTGTGAAACCGCCTTGCAAAGTAGACAATGTTCTATGTTCATAATTATTGAATTATATGTTTATAATTATAAAGCTATATATTCATATTTTTGAATTTCATATTCATAATTATTCAACTCTATATTCACAATTACTGAACTATATGTTCATAATTATAAAGTTATATATTCATAATTTTTGAACTTCATATTCACAATTATTGAATCTCTATAGTCATAATTGCAGAACTATATGTTCATAATTATGTTCACAATTCTATATTCATAATTATAGAACTTTATGTTCATAATTTTTGAACTTATATTCATAATTATGAACAATTTTAGAACTGTGTCCTCCTTGCAAAGTCTGCAATCTTAGTATTGAATTCAAACTCTGGGACTTTAAGAGTATGTTGCTAGAGTTGATATCTTGATGCAATCATGGTGTATATAATTGATCGTACGAGCTTGAAGACGCAAGCAAAGCCTGTGAACTAGTAAACATGCTTCATTAATTCCTCCAAATAGTTAAGTTGCAGAGTGAATTCCATTTTTGGTCCTACTGTTATAGGGGCGTTTCTAATTTTAGTCCACTTTAATTTTTTTTGTCACTTTACAACCACTGTTATTGAATGTGTTCCACTTTTAGTCTACCGTTAATATTTTCGTCAAGAGGCCGTATAATCAAAGGGTATTTTGGTCTTTTTATGTTTGTCTCTTCTCTTTTAATCCAGGCACTTCGTCCTCCTCCTTCGATATTCGAAGATGCTCTTCGAACAACGAGAATGGGAAGCCAAACCTACATTGTTTTGTTCGTTCCAACATGGGCAGACGAGGTTTCTTAGGTTTTAGGTTTAATGTTCTCATTTCTTTAGTCAAACATAGTCTTGGATGAGAAGAAAGGTCAAAATACCCCTAAATTACACGGCCTCTTGATGGAAATACTAACGATGGAACTAAAAGTGGAACACATTCAATAATAGTGGTTATAAAGTAGCAAAAAAAAATTAAGGTGGACTAAAATTGGACACGCCCTATAATAGTAGGACCAAAAATGAAATTCACTCTTAAGTTGCATGCATGTTTCAATTCCTCTGAATATTATTAATTTTGGAATTCCAATAATGCAATTACTATTGAGCTCCAGAAAGTTTATTTATCACTTTAACATCTAAGAAAATCAAGGAAACAAAGTGGAGTTGCATTATGAATTATAAAGGATCCAGCATAACTGCACTGTGAGTGCAATAGTGAAATTAAACTAAACAAACCATTGCAAAATATTTTGCATTCAAAAGTAAAGTGGAAATATTATATTGTCTATTGGTTCTCTAAAGACAGATGAGTGTTTTCGCTGTATCTTTGAAGAATCAGTGAAATATCTTTCATGGACGGCCTGCTTGATGAGGAATTCAAAGTGCATGCAAGGCCTAATTTGAAAACAGCGATCATTGCCTCCAGATAACGTGGGTCCTTGATCTCCTCATCTAGGGCATCTGCAGCTGAGTTCCCTTCTGTTTGGTGTTTGTGTGCCCATTGTGCCAGGTTCATATCCTCATTTCCAGTCACTGCTTCTCTTCCCGTTGTCAATTCCAAGAGAACTACGCCAAAACTGTAGATGTCGCTTTTCGCATCCACTTTTCTTGTACTGCCGTATTCTGCATTCTCATGATATATGTGATTATGCAAGTATAAATATCAATGAGAATTGAAATGATGAAGATAAAAAAATAAAATGTACCGGGGGCAATATAACCAAAGGTTCCCACAATAGCAGATGCTGTTTCCGGATCTCCTTCACTCGCCATCATCTTTGCCAGTCCAAAATCCGCAATCTTGGCATTGAAGTCTGAGTCGACAAGTATGTTACAAGACTTGATATCTGCAATTGCACCGCAAGTTATGATGATGTAATTACTCTTTTTCTTTGATTTACTATTAGCCTTGGAACTGCATGCTATGTAATCAGAACACCAGTAGTCTGTAGAGCATGCTGGCAATCCATTTTCCTTTTCATCTGAGCATAAATTGGCTCCATCAAAGCAGCTATGCTCAAAACTTTCCTTCAGTTGCTTATAAGGGATTCTCCCAGAAAGGTTGTTCGAACAAATATCAATTATCAGTGTAGCACTCAGATGGATAGCAGTCAGACGGCTAAAAATTACCCATATGTCTCCAGATAAGTTGTTATGCGACAGATCAATATCATTCAAACTAAATAATTCCAGTTTTCCAGGTATTTCACCAGTCATTTTGTTAAAAGAAAGCGAAAGATGAGACAATTGATGCAACTGTGACAATCTATCAGGTATTGGACCAGTAAAAGAATTTCTGGACAAATTTAAGTAGTTAAGGTTGTATAAATTTCCTATATCTTCTGGTATTGATCCATTCAAATGGTTACTTGAAAGATCAAGATACTCTAAACTGTGAACCACCATGGGTGTGGGTATCTCACCAGACAACATGTTGTGTTGAAGATTTAAACTGCCCAATCTTTTCATGGAAAATAATTCACTTGGTATTGATCCATTCAAAGAATTGTTGGACAAATTTAAGTAGCTAAGGTTGTATAAATTTCCTATATCTTCTCGTATTGATCCATTCAAATGGTTACTTGAAAGATCAAGATACTCCAACCTGTGAGCCACCATGGGTATCGTCGGTATCTCACCGGACAACATATTCTGTTGAAGATTTAAATTACGCAGTTCTTTCATGGAAAACAACTCACCTAGTATTTTTCCTGTGAAAGAATTTTCGGATAGATCCAACTCTTCAAGCTTTGAGCAACTAGAGAGGCCAACTGGTATAGTTCCCCATAGATAATTAGTTCTGAGATTGATTGAAGAAAGGCTATTGAGCTGGCATATAATTTTTGGGGGGAATGATCCTTTGAGGCCACTATCATAGAGATATATCTCAGTGACACTTCCATTGAAGTTGCATGAAATTCTAGGCCAGTCACATGGGGAGGAAGTGGAGTTCCACTGTTCAAGTGAAAATGGATTTCCCCAGTGTTGTTTTAGGCTAAGTAAAATAGCCCTTTCATCATTCTCATGAGTGATTAAAGATTGTGAATCATTTGGGAAGGACAAAAGGAGGATGAAGATGAAGAAGAAGGCATGATGAATAGGATGCTGCTGCAGCATTTTCAGACAATTCATTAGTTAATTATAAGGTAATAATATCAGAGTGAACATTAAACCAAAATGCAAGCATGGTTTAATGTAAAATGATGGTGAGGAGCATTATTAAGATCCAATCCTAGCTTGGTCTTCCCGGTCTATTATATTATATTGCTCATCCATCACTCCACTTCCTTTACGGTGTAGTGCTTAATGTGAAGTGTGAACAACAAAGTTGGGTGGACTTGGACTTTGACTAGGACTTGGACTTGGAGTCGATGTTATTGAAGTTCATTAGTGGGAATCAAAGTTCAACAAAATCCATTGAACAAAAATATGTAACCAAAAAGTTTTTTATTATTGGAGACGGATCAGGTAAAAACCAACTGCTCCTTTGAAGTGCAAATAAAATGTCTTAAAAGTGTATGTAACAATTTAATATAGTGCATCCAAGTGCAAGTAAAATGTATTAAAAGTGTAACAAATAATGTACACTGAGCATCAATATTAAGTGCACCTAATATGATCATTGAGTGCACCAATATGAAAGACATTATCATTAGTTGCATCAATGTTAAAAAGATAAATTACTTGCACTATTAAGTGAAAATGGTTGCACTCTTAAGTGATTTAACTTGCATTTTTTATTTGCATACTTGTACCAGTTACTCGCAATTTTAACACATGTTACTTGTACCAAAGTTCAATTTATTTACGAAAGTACCATCACGTTCTTTTTTAAAAAATTACACCTAATTCATTAAATCTAGACACGTGGACGACTGCGATTAATTTTCAATAATAATTATAATTACAATTATAATTTTTATAATGATAATAAATAAAGAGATAGTTAAAATATAGTTAATTTGAAAAGGTGGATCCATACAAAACTTATAAAAAATTAAAATTATAAGAAAGAATGGGATTTTTGAGATTTAGTGAGATAGTAAATGATGAAATGAATGTTGGGGTAAAAAAAAAAAAAAAAAAAAACTGAAGAAAAAATCTCAATTATTGGTCTAAGTATCATCCTACCCAATTAAATAATTCATCTTAATTTGTCGTCCTAAATTACAAGGAAAAAAACAAACAATATTTTTTCAAATTCTCCCACGAAGTGGTTGCCCAAACCATTTCCTTTACTACTCACTCCACAATTACTAATATAAATTGCTGCCAACTCCGAGTAATACCAATTCAGGACAATCGCATCCATTACACTTTTTAAGGATTTCTGGCCAATTAGCAGCTGGTGCAGCCTGAGTTACTGAAATTAGTGGTGACGGAGGAGGTGGTACAGTCGCCGGAATCGGTGCCGGAGGTGGAACATGACCACCACCTACTCCCGGAGTTGTCACAGCAGCAATGTGTAGAAGAGGTTTGAGATGAGGGCATGATCGTACGAGCTTGAAGACGCAAGCGACGGCTGTGAACAGGTAAACATGCTTCATTAATTCATCCACTGCTTAAGTTGCCTGTTTCCTGTGAATATTTTTATTTTTGGAACTCCAATATACTTACTAATCTGCACCAGAAAGTTTATCTTTCTCTTAACATCTAAGAAAATCAAGGAAATAAAGTGGAGTTGCATTTTATATGATTATATTTAGGGTTTGAAAAAAGTGTAATACTAATTCAGGATAAGTTAATTGATTATTATTTATGAGGAAAACGTAAGTATTACGAGTAAAATCAAATTGGCCATTAAGTACAAAAGTCACATTAAACATATGATTTTGCAATGGGATAAGTCCATTCTAAAGGAAAAAGGGAAATATTGTCTATCCACTCCTTGAAGACAAATGGTTGTTCTCACTGTTGATTTGAGTTTCCGTCGCTCCATTTGGAATAGCTCTCTCAAAGGCATTGTTGCATCTTTGAAGAATCTGTGAAATATCTTTCATAGACGATCTGCTTGATGGGGAATTCAAAGTGCACGCAAGGCCTAATTTGAAAACAATGATCATTGCCTCCATATAATGTGGATCCTTGATCTCTTCATCCAGGGCATCTGCAGCCGAGTTTCCTTCTCTTTGGTGTTTGTGTGACCATTGTGCCAGGTTTATATCCTCATTTCCAGTCACTGCTTCTCTTCCCGTTGTCAATTCCAAGAGTACTACGTCAAAGCTGTAGATGTCGCTCTTCGCATCCACTTTTCTTGTGCTGCTGTATTCTGCATTCCCGTAAAGCATTGCAATAAAGCATTGCAGGAATTGAAGTGTTGAAGATATAAAAAACATACCTGGGGCAATGTAACCAAAAGTTCCCACAATAGCGGATGCTGTTTCTGGATCTCCTTCACTCGCCATCATCTTTGCCAGTCCAAAGTCTGCAATCTTGGCATTGAAGTCAGAGTCGACGAGTATGTTACTAGACTTGATATCTCTATGAACAATGGGTGGATTGCAACTGTGGTGCATATAGCAAAGCCCTTGTGAAGCCCCGATGGCAATTTTTAGCCTCCTCTCCCACTGCAAGACTTGAGTAGTTAAGCCTCTTTTATTTCCATGCAACCATTTGTGAGCACATTGTTTGTCCATGTATTCATACACAAGAAGCTTTGTAGTCTTTCCTCTGATGCAGCATAACAATTTCACTATGTTGTTGTGCCAAATTCCCCCAAGGATCTTAACCTCTGCTATAAACTGCTTCTCCAAAATGTGGCCTTCATTTCGTTCATGCCTTATACTTTTAACAGCAACTTTTTTGCCTTTCTTTGTGATCACTCTATATACTTTTCCTGACCCTCCATCTCCAACCAAATTTTGATCGGTCAAACCACCCAAAATATCCCATTTATTGAATCCCAATCTTTGAAATGAAACCATACTCCATTCTTCTCCATCATTTTCCATTCTCCCTTTCCTTGCAAGTCTGATCACGAGTAACTGAGTTACTAACCAAATTAGTAGCCCTGCAATTACACCACACCCTATAATGATATAATGCTTTTTCTTTGATCTGCTAGACTTAGAAATTGAACTTAAACTTGGACTTGGTTCTAGGCCATACTGAGGATGATAGCAATCATAAAGGCCAGAATTAGTCGCAAATGATTCTCCAGTTAATGTTGCAAATTGACCTGAACAAGGTATCATTCCAGAAAGTTGGTTATTAGACAGATCTAGAACCGAAAGAGATATGAGATTGGTCAATGTTTGTGGAATTGAGCCATTGAGTCGGTTGTGTGATAGATAAAGGCGTTCAACATACTTCAAGCCTTCAAGTTTTTGAGGTATTGGACCAGAGAGATCATTATGCCCTAAATTCAGAAAAAAGAGATAGTGCATGGAACCTAATTCCTTTGGAATACTGCCTTCCAACTTATTGTATGAAAGGTCAAGGAAAAAGATGGATCCGTTGTGGTGAAATGTTGGTTGTGCAATGTCCCAGTAGCCTGCATTAATATTGCAGGGACACCTCATTGAAATCCTGTCAAGGCGATCCTGTGTAATCCCACCAAATTCGAGTATATTTCCTGCTCCGTGGCACTGCTCACTTCCATCATTCTTAATATACACATATTGCTTCTCAGTAAGTAATGTCGTTCCAATATTGCCAGATTGTAAGAACAGAGCAGGTGGGATAGTACCGTTCAAGAAATTGGTGTTGAGATCCAACCATAACAAGCTGCGGCAATTCCCCAACTCAGCAGGTATGTTCCCAGAGATGGTGTTGTTTCCCAACTTCAGAATGGATAGACTAGACAAGTGCCCTAATGAAGCTGGTATAGCACCACTCAACAAATTATTCGACAAAGAAATCCATTTCAAATTAGTACAGTTGCTGAGACTTTCAGGCATTGGCCCAGACAATTCATTGAAATCAAGAATCAGATTTTCCAAAGACTGCAAGTACGTTAGCTCCCTCGGGATTTCCCCTTCAAGCCAATTCATCCAAATGATCAAATCCTTGAGCTTCAACAAGGATCTGAGGCTAGATGGTATCTTCCCTTTAAGGTAATTAAAGCTAAGATCAAGAGATTCCAATTGGGAACAGTTGCTTATACTCTCAGGTATTGGACCAGTAAACAGGTTATTCTGAAGGTACAACACTTTCAAGCTATTCTTAGGGTCGTTAAAAATTTCAGAGGGAATCAAACCAGAGATGTTATTTGAACTCAAATCTAAGGTCTCTAAGCTTACCCACAAAATTAGACAATGACTCAGACAAGCCACCCACAAAATTATTGAATGATAAAACCAGTGTCTTCAAGCTAGTCAAACTAATTGACTCAGGCAACTCACCAGAGAATTTATTGTTGGATAGATCTAGAAGTTCCAAGGTTGAGCAATCACCAAGGGTCTCAGGGACCACACCTGATAATATGTTGGAAGACAAGTCCAATTCCACAAGAGTTGTACATAAATCTCCTGGTATTTTTCCTGTGAAATAATTTGCAGATAGATCCAACTCTTCAAGCTTTGAGCAGCTGGAGAGGTTAGCTGGTTTAGTTCCCCAAAGATTATTGGAACTCAAATTGATTGAAACAAGGTTGTTGAGCTGGCATATAATAGTTGAGGCCGGGAATGATCCTGGGATGTTCATTCCGGAGAGAGATATCCATGTGACACTTGCATTGAAGTTGCATGAAATTCCAGGCCAGTCACATGGGGAGGAAGTGGAGTTCCACTGCTCAAATAGTGAAAATGGATATCGCCAGTGTTGTTTTAGGATAAGTAAAATAGCCCTTTCATCATCCTCATAAGTGGTTAAAGATTGTGAATAATTTGGGAAGGAGAAAAGGAGCATGAAGAAGATGAAGACATGATGAATAGGGTGGTGCAGCAGCATCTTCAAACAATTAATTAATTAAGCTAATAATAATAATAAGATGGTGAGGAGTGAGTGAGGATCATATCGGAGGAGCTAGCAATTGCTCTTCCAGCTGTTCTCATCTATTATATTATTGTATTGCTTAATGTGGACTTGGTCACTTGGACTCAAAGTCAAAGTCAGTGTTATCATAAGTCATTGAACAACACAACATAAAATCCTGCTGGTATTATTTTACTATTAATTAAATAATTAATTTTATAAATAAACATATGATAACAACAACAACAATATGTTCGGAGCTGTGGGGCCTAAGGGAGGATCTACGGCTGGCAAGGGCTAAGGGTTGGGGGAGAGGGATTCTAGAATTTGACTCTGAAGCGGTTATTGCTGTCATGAAAGAGACCGAGGAAACGCAGGAACCAACGTCAACTATCGTCAAGGATTGTAAATTCCTTGCGAAAGCTTTCAGCACGATTCGGTTCCATCATACCTTGAGAGAAGGCAACAAGTGTGCAGATCACCTTGCTAACATCGGTCAACAAGGAGATTGGGGTACCACGGAGTGTGCAGATCACCTTCTCTTTGGTGTTTGTGTGCCCATTGTGCCAGGTTCATATCCTCATTTGCAGGCACGGCTTCTCTTCCAGTTCTCAATTCCAAGAGAATTACGCCAAAACTGTACATGTCGCTCTTCGTATCCACTTTTCTTGTACTGCCATATTCTGCATTCTCATGATATATGTGATTATGCAAGTATAAAAATCAGTGGGAATTGAAGTGATGAAGATATAAAAAAAAAATGTACCTGGGGCAATGTAACCAAAGGTTCCCACAATAGCAGATGCTGTTTCTAGATCTCCTTCACTCGCCATCATCTTTGCAAGTCCAAAGTCTGCAATCTTGGCATTGAAGTCAGAGTCGATGAGTATATTACTGGACTTGATATCTCTATGAACAATAGGTGGATTGCAACCGTGATGTGTAAGATTTCCCCTAATAATATATATTATATATTATATATTAGGGCCTTAATTAAGTGGTGCAAGTTGACTAGGCTTATTAAGTGGTCTGGTTGGACTTAATAACTAGTAGTTGTTAGTCAACCAAACTCTGTGCCTAATATAACCTGGATTGATGGGATACAGGATTATGGATTAGTTACCACATTCAGTTACGGTACTCAGATCGCTCAGTAGATACCAATACACCATCTAGGATTCTGAGTCAGGTCTGAGGCAAAACATGGCTGACGGTCTACCGTTAAGAGGCAACACAACAGGAACATCAACTATGGCTAGAGATCAACACGGCTACGCTTCCGCTATCATACGAGGTTAGGTTTCTCGTATATTATGGTTCATATAGTTAGACTATTGTATATCTAACATTTGGTATCAGAGCCTTTATCAATCTCTACCTGGTTGATTGTTTTGCTTCAATCAACATTAATTTGTTTCATATACATAAGATTTTGTATATGATTTTTGTAACTGCTGAATTTTTATTATTTTTTGGCATTAAGAAATTTAATTTCGTTTTTTTTTTTTCTCGAAATTATGATCTTTTTTTTTTTTCTCCTGCCGGCGACCGTTGGGTGCCTGTTACGAGTCTCTGCTGTTGACGACGGTGGGAGGCGACGGTGGCTGCAACCAACGTCATTGGGCGCTGCGTGGGTGACTGAGGTTTCGTCTATGCTTTCCGAGCGACGACAAAAAAAAAAAAAAAAAAAAAAAAGAATCCGAGCGCACCTCGAAGCTGGGTTGCCGCGACGTTCTGCTTCGTCTCATCCTTCAGGCGATGCTGGCGCCGGCCTGGTTGCTGCCCCTCAAGCTTTGGGCAGCGCTAGGTCTGGTTTTAGACGACGGCGAGAAGTTGCGGGTGGAGATCGACGGCGGCGAAGTGGCGTTACAACGAGATGAGATGGTGGAGACCGGATGGACTTTCCGGCGAATCGTCACTGTTCCATCTCCCCTACTTCAGTCGGCTGCTGCTGCTTCTTCATCGACGGCGGTTGGCGTTGATGTTTGGCGTTGCGGTCAGGCGAGAAGGCGGAGCGGGCTGGCTTCCGGCGACCGCCGCTTCTCTCTCTCTCTTCCGGAGACGTTTGGTCTGGTCCGACGATGCAGCTTCTGTTTCTCGGCGCCGCATTAGTGGAGGAAGTCAGCGCTCCTTATTTGAGAAAGGAGGAAAAGGAAATGGTAATAAATGCGCCTACACTAAAATATGTTTACTTTCATTTACCATATATATTTATTTGCCTTATTTTATTTTATACATATTAATTATGATAAATGATAAATGGTAATTATTAGGTTTTAATTTGCCATATTAATATTATCTTAATTAATATTGTATATTATTTTGGCAAATGGTAAATATAAAGTAATTGCATAATTTTGGAATATTGATGCCCTTTAGTTTTCTTAATTTTGGCATTAAATTCATAATTAAATTATTATTCAACTTTTGGCAAATATTAAGATTTAAATTTGCTATTTGAATTTTAATTTAATATTGAGGTTATATTTAATTGCCTGAAGTATTGCAATTTATTTAGTATATATGGGTTAATGATGTATTAATTTGCACATCCAAGCATGCTACGTATATTTATAAATTATTGTTATAATTATACATTCATAATAGCATGCATTAAAGTTAGATTTAGCATATTATTAACTCATAAATTTATTATTAAATACCATTCAATTTTTGGATCCTTAGGTCAATTTTAGATATTATGACCTACTAAAGTAGCTTGTTTTGGTTTCCCCTTAATTTTTGAGCACATTCTAGTTTTATGTGTCTTTGGGACTTTAGAACCTATTTTTGAACAAGCTATTTGGGACCTATCTTGGGTCATATTAAAGTATGGATCTCACCATTTTGATTGATATTTTAATAATAATTATAGCTCCTTATAACATGTTTATTAAGTTTTAATTATTACTAACGACCATATTTTGGTATTCATCGTTGGTAATAATATTAAGTTTTGGGTCTATTTCAGTACTTAGACCATTTTTATTCATGTTATAATTCGCTTGGGCCATTGAGGTTTATGAGCCTAATTTGAGTGATTAAATGCTATAATTATTGTCTTGGCCTGTTTAAAGACATTAAGGAGTTAATTGTTATTTTGGCCATTAAGAACTATAACTATTGTTTAAGTTGATTAATTCTTTAATCTATCAATAGTTTCAGGGCCTTAATAATAATATTAAGTCTTTAATTTCATGGCAAAAGTAATATAGTTGGTATATTGTCTGTATAATGGTAATTTGGTTATTACTTTAATTTCAGTCTCCCTAAGTATCATAATAGTCATAATTAATTATTATGTGGTAAAATTGGAGATTAGTATTTGGCATCCCTTAATTACAGTTTTACCATTTATTAAGTTAAAATTTGGCATTATTAATTACTGTTATTAAGTTTAGGGACTACTCTTATTTTATTACCTTTCATAATAATTATTATTTCATGGTAATATGCTATATTTGGTACATTGGCATGATTACCACTTCATTTCACATGACTATTAATGTTGGTAATTAAGTCCTACCAATAAATTTTTTAAATGTACCATTGGATGCTGCATCGGGTATACTGACACCGACAGTGAAGATGGGAGAATTCAAGAGTTTTCTTCTGTTGTGGATCATCATCGTTGTTAGCGCAATGGAGAGATGCGGTTTGCTTCATTAAGGTTAGTCATTAATTATCTTTTATGATTATTATTGATAATTAGTGCTACAGTTACAGTTAACCGCTAATTTGGACTAGTCGCATATTTTATCTTTAGAAAAATTTAAACATTAAAAGTGCATTACCATACTTTAGTTTGTCATTACTAATGTTAATAGTGATTATAATGTTACTTATTGCTATTAATAATTAGTTAATTAATGATGACATTAATATTGCTATGGTATTCAGTTATGCATCTTGAACTGTTTCCAAATAAATTTATGTGACAATACTCCAGTTCAGAAAATAATTTTCTGGACATTAATATTTTTCGGACTTCAAATTTTATTAAGTTTTCAAAATTTTATCCGAAAACATTTATAAGTGTTAGCGATTTTAACCATTGTTTTTCCATATTTAGTCTCCTACATACATAATGTGATAATATTATTATGGCTATTTATTGCTATTTTGGTTATTTGCAATTTTGTCATTAATAATAATAATATTATTATTAACTGAGTTATGGAGAGTGATTTTGAATCAATTTAGTAATCATGGAAAAACATATTTGCTAGGCAATTGACTTTTGCCATTAATTCCATAATTCATTTAGTTCTCGGAATTATGATTTAAGTTCTGATTGCCCATATTTGGTTAAGTATGAATAAATGAATATTTGGTTTAAATTCATATTTTTTAGTTGATTCATACTCTTTAGATTGTTTTATGCATTCGATCACATTAAGTGCATAATATTAAGTTTAATTATGCAATTAGGGTTTGTGAGATTTTGATTTACAAATGCTAGCATATCCTTTTGGTTTGATATTGTTTGAATTTGTAAATTCAGTTATTTCTCATAAATTTGATCATTATGCATTAAAACTTTTTGCCATGAGCTTACAGTTTAAAAATTTTGTAAAGTATATATTCAATACATTATTATTCAAAATGTTGGGTCTCTTTTGGTTTGGACTCATTGGTGTTTGAATAGTAAATTTATATTTTAAAATCTCATATTGTAAATTGCTTTAAGTTATGCAATTTATTTGGAAAATATGAGTTTAATGTTTAATCTTATGCACATTTGTCCTAAGCATAATATTATGTTTTAAATTATGCAATTTTATTATGCCTTTAGCAATGCATACTTTGAGATGGAATTATATTAGTTCCTATTTAAGTTGGACTTATGCATAAACTTTAGTCGCGGTAGTGCCTGAATTTAAGCACGTTTAGTCCGCTAATTTAGTTCACCATTTAAGCTTTAATCATAGGTGAACCATACAGTTTTTGGTGTATACCCTACAGTTTTAGGTTCA